GACTTTTACTCAGTTTTCGGAACTTCACCAGTGCTTGCGGGATGCTAATTGGTCTTACAGGTTTAGGAAAGAAAACAGTACGGCCGAATGTAAAATTAATGAATGAGGTTCCGTCGAGACTTAGAAATATAACCAAAACAAAACACGAACCAGTAGTAAATGGAGACCTCTTCCAAGAGACTCATTTGCTTAACCTTGTGAATGTATTTCATGTTCTGTAAAGTGGATGTAGTGAAAGGGCAGCGAATATTCCGGCACCAATATCAATGAACCCAAGTCCGTTGATCAGCAATAATTTTTGTCGCACGACTGAGCATTCGTAGTAGGAATGAAGCGTTTCAATCTCACGAAGCATGTTCAGTCTTCTTGACCAAACAGTTGAATTTGCAGATTGGTTGAGAATTATGCACATTTAGCATTTATAGACGTTATCTGTGATTTGGTCTTTGCTGGGAACCTTTCTTGATGATGGTAGTGAGTTTGGTTTTCTTAACTCTTACCAGTTGGACTCATATAATGCAAAGACCAAACTTTCTTCGAGATCCAGAAAGTTAAGTCTGGTGTCCTCTCAGAAGTCCCTGAAGTTTTTGTTGTTGTATTGAAATAACTCTTCATTTTCACCGCACAAATAATACTACAGAGGTTAGAAGTTTCCTGACCTAATGCGTCTAAAGTCAATAGTTTGACGAAGTGGCAAACGTTTGAAGCGAATGTCGTACGCAATTCTATGTTTGACTAGCCTGAGATGTGGCGCATGTGATCCAGAGTCCACACCGACGCGGTCCAGCTGCGTTAATAGGACAGGCTTCGATTACCGATTCGGACAGAGGAATGACCTCACCAGATATCTTGTCTTTACAGTACCGTTGCATATAGCCTAGCTGAACTTAAGTGTCCTTAAAGCTACCTACTCGTCATTTAACGAGACAATCTGTTTATCTGAACCAAAAGGCTGCTGGCGTCCGAAATGGCAATTGGGGCGCACGAACTTATCTACTGGTTTTACTGGCAGTAGTGAAGTTCCGTTTTTAATGGTGCATCTTTTCAATTTTGAAGGACATGCGTTCGTCCGACAAGAGGGAGCTGACTAGAGATTACTGACAGTGAGTTGATTCAGGGAACTGAATAGTGAGAGTGGTAGTTTGTCAGATGGCCATCGACCTTTTCACCGAGCTTGGAGATTCGCCTTTGAACTTTTGGATATTGGTTGAGGTGACTACAGTATCCGAGGGCGCACCGGTGGTGAGCACCCACCACGGTAGAGTTCACGGGTAGAGGTAGTTAAACAACCCACTGACCACATTGGTACTACTGGAATCCAGGCGAAAAGTCCCTTGACAGCAGTGGCACTCAGGGAATCAAAAGAGCGTGGGGGCCTGAGTTTCCGCTTATCCACCAAAGGCAGTCAGAGAAGCCTGATGTGGAAACCCGGATTCATATCGCATTAGCATCAAGCAAGTCTTTGGAGGGCACCTGGTACTAGAGTGTTTATACTTGTAACGTGGCTGCCAACCGCGAGTGAAACTAACGAAATGATTTCTTTGTTGAGAGACCCAGTTTGATCAATTTTACCGTTGAGCAAGCAGAGACTGCGTCGCACACCTGGGACGCCGTAGCATGGACAAATTTTATGAAAAAGACATTGCCATTGAAGTTCCACTGGAGGTTTTATAGATCAACTCCCTGTTTTAATATTTTGATCGAGGACGTACCTATAACGTTTGCACAACAGAGCGAAGCCTGAATGGCAGCAGTGAAAAGTTTATCAGCACCACCATGGTGGCCATTGAGTTCCACAGTCAATCTCATCCGTCCAAACCACCGGAGTTGACGTTTACTGTGAGCTGGTCCGGTGACACCATATGTTCACACTCTGAGTGTACTGCCTTAAAAACGAACACCGCACTATTGGACTGTGAGCGCTTCGCGCTAAATACTTAAGAATTTGCTGGTGTAACCGGACAGAAGGGGATTATTCAGCTGATGGATCTAAAAATTGTGAATCTTGACGCACTACCTGTTAAGGAATCTTGGGCCGTTTGACAGGTAAGACGCAAGTAATGCTGTGATAAATTGGCTATTGATCGCGTGCACAGGCGGCAAAATTTGTAACTTGTAAGCTATCTAACGCGTAGACAGCTTTTTTTTACATATGATTGTCGAATTTGAAGATCATAGCAACCTTCTGATTAGCAAACGAATGTAGGCTTTGTAAGTAGAATGCAAAAGATTGTCTCACTATCACAAAAATTACCCAGTGGTAGTTGTGTCGAGTGCTACAGGTAAACTCTTGAAATCACCTCTCTCACTATTCGGTTTTAATGTACTTATGAGAATCTGACGACGGCCAAAGTACATCAGCGATAACGGATACTCCCAACCCTACATAAGATATTTTACTCTGGCATGTTTCGTCCAGATCGAAGGAAATTTGATATAGCTCACTTTGCCTGGTTGATGAACGGTTCTAACCCGGGAAAGTCCTGGAGATGCATAGTTCTTAGTGTGGCTTCATCACTACAGCTATCGTCTGACGACAATTACTCTAAACAAATGTAATGCTTTACGCTGCGAATGAAGCATTTGGAACAGTAAAGCTTCTTTAGATTCAAGCAGGTCACTCTATCAAGTTTCACTTGCTATTTTTCATTGGTAATGACGGATGGTAAACAGGTATCTCATGTTAATTTATTAGTCTGATGAGTGTCTTCAATGTTAGAATGGTGAGGAGCTTCGAGTACACGACGTTATTGACAATATCTAAAGCCTTCTGTCCCTTTTTACATTGTCCGAACACTGTTAGAAGTCCCGCACAGACATAGAGCCCAGGGTCATCGTCAACATTTTCTGGTGCTCTTCCCGCTGAGAATATCTATTCCAGCACAAGAGGAGGCATCTAACCCAAGTCCAACAGTCGCATTCACATCCGGCTCCCAGTAGGCCTATCACTGGAGTGAAAGTAGACCGTCAGTGTCGAGAATATGAAAGGCACACATAAACAGAGAGCTTTGCCACTTACATCTCCAGACGCGAAACAAAGCGTAGTTGCTCGGTCTTATTATATCCTGTCATTCATGCTGTTGGTTAAAAACTTCAGTATTCCGGTTGGAAAACGGGTCTGTGTGCACCAAAGGATGCCGGTTAGCAAGTGATGAACCGCAAAACTCCAATTCGACTTGTAAGGCAGATTCAAACTCCGTACAAGAGTGATTGTGCGCATTAGGGAGATAAAGGTATGAGAGAGAGTAAACTCTCGGAAATTTCGTATATACAGACTAGTGATTTGGTTGGGCGGCCAAAAGGTTGCATGTGTATGCACATGAAGGATGAATACAAAAAAAGCGAGCAATTAATTCGCGGCTACTATTGGGTCAAGAGCCAAAACTTCAAAACGGCACATTTATCAAGTCTAAACCCGTACGATATGTCTAATTCAGACGCCGTCCTTTGTTATGGAACCCAAATTACCAGTTAGGTAACAATATTTTCTCATAGACACTGATCGTTTAGGGGTTACCAATACGTCCACCGTAATCTTTTGGAAATCTTCCATTCCAATTTAATCCAGTAACATTGATTTGCTCGACTTTGTACGAGAGGTTCATTGTGCACCATAATATTACATTTTATTCTGTATGCATTAGTTCGGACTCTCATTGGAAGAGTTGGAGGAGTACGAATCAGATGCTGGTCTTGGTAACGGGGGTCTCGGACGTCTTGCGGCATGCTTCCTTGACTCAATGGTGAACTTGAACTTGGCCGCCACGGGCTATGGAATACGTTACGATTACGGCGTGTTTGAGCAAAGAATTGTCAATGGTTGGCAAGTAAGGTCTTTTTACAAAGTTGTTATGCGGTTGTTGTTTAATTATTTTCACCTGTCTTCTTCCCGGACTGCTTGCTTTCCATGTCCATCTAACAAAAGGTCGAAGAGCCAGATGACTGGTTGCGCTACGGTAATCCGTGGGAGATAGCACGATTGGAGTTATCACAAAGTGTGAACTTCTACGGTCACGTGGAAATCGATTCCTTCGGACGCCGCCACTGGGTCGATTGTCAGACCCTTCACGCAGTTCCTTATGACACACCTGTCCCGGGCTACCTGACGAACACCTGCAATTCACTGCGTTTGTGGGCTGCTCGAGCCCCCAGAAACTTTGATTTTTCCATTTTCAACACTGGTGATTACATCAACGTAAGTATTCGCAAAAAGTGTACATTTATCCTTGCCTTTTAAAACACGTAATTAAATGATGAGAGCCACCAGACTCTCTTGGACGAAGGAACCCACAGTCGAACCTTATTTTCCAGAAAGTAGTTCACTCTCCGAACTTTTACCCAATGAAGGTAAATTTTTTTTTGACCAAGAGCTTATGTACAGTCCAACACATCTTATCTAGCCTTGTCTGTACTGACCAGAACAGAAAGTCTCACGTTTTCGAAGAAAAAAAGCACGTGACCACCCACAAGAGATCGTCGTCCGCTTACAGCATGCGACGAAACAGCTTTCACGGATACTGTTGATCACGTAATTTTCTATCTTAATCCTCGAAAAAAATCTCAGGAATTCATACCAGATGCGCGTCAGATAATACGTGAATTTTACCCTTAAAGAAAGATCCAATCGCATGTATTGTTTATGCGTGAAATGAATGCGCGAGTGTTCGTTGAACACCGATGACTCTCCTAGAGAATGAGTCAAAACCATGGCATTACCTTCTCCTTCATGGTGGAACAAAATGTTGCCAGAGATAAATGAATTCGTTATTTAAGAAGGCGCAGATATTTCTGTCCTAGAAGACTATGTAAAGCACCTGATAGTGTTAAATCTCACCCGCGTGTCGAGGCAGATTCATGGACTGACTCAACCGAGAAAGTACATGTTGGATTTTTATGGATCTTGTATTTCGATGATTGTTTAGAAATTACAAAAATTGGTCAATAGTTCTCCTGAACGGGCATATGTTTCTTAAGCTCTATACATCTGCTCCATTTGGCCGTCGTGGTACCTCACTGACTTACGCTACACATATTGTCTTCTCGGCTTGCCTTGGCTGACAGTGAGTCTTGTCCTTTCTACTGACTGGGTGCTCGGCGGGCTTTGATTCATGAAGCCGCCATATCTTTACTTCCTACGTGCGTGAAACACAAGTTACAATGCTTGTGAAAAAAGCAACCCAAGCGAATATGATATTTATCCAGCCCAACTTAATAAAGTTGAAGAAACACTGATTTGAATGTATGACTTTCTGACCGGGCTGATCTCGTTTGACGAAGCGGCGATATCGATTTTTCAGGTTGAGGGGAGTTTGAAATTTACGGAGCAGCCTGAAGCGTGTGCCTGTCTGAAACAGACGCTCATAATTTCTCAATTAGTAGATTTTTTATGTATTCTGGTCTGGAGGCACGTAAGAACAAGAAAGGACGAAGATAAATGTGGAATGGTAGGGGATCTTATGCATGAGAATGAAATCATATAGGGGCACTGACATAAGAAGGGACTTGAAATTCAGTTGCGGATACTGGTAGGGTCGAGATTCATTTAAGTCATAGCGCGTGTACGGACGTTGCAAAATTAGACAGACGCGTATTCCTGAGTGGGGCGGGATGAAGAACTTTTCAGGGCGAACTCATACGCATCCGTAGAGGAGGCCCCCTATGATAAGGCTGGAATCCAATCCGCACATAGGAATACTGGCGGAAGATCCGCAAGTTAGAACTGATCAGACTTCTTCACTATCAAGGATGACAACATTTATTTCACCGATGGAGTCCAGCGATGAGAACCAAACGAATGATAAGCGTGTCAACCTATCTTCCGTAAATCGGTAGCACTTTAACCTGCATGATGAACACGTTTCATCGCAGAGTACCTGTCAGGTGAAAAGTAACTCCAGAATTTTCGACAACATGGGAAGAACTAAGATGATAGTCGTTGGGGCCACAAAGAGAGGCATGTTTGGGGATAAGAACTGTTTAGGATTTTCTCTAGGACGTAGGAAGGATAAGGTTAGACGGACAAACCTTTTAGTGATGGGAAAGAGCTCGATTGCGCAGGTACATAATAGGTAGTCTTGGGATTTTGAATTCTAACAGGCAACGGATTACATCTGCTGTATTCATCATCATATACAGCAGCATTATCGATGTAAACACTGATTTTCAACTTCCGTACAAGCACAAAACTTATCTAATTATATTTAAAGCCTTGGATCGAAGAGAAGAGAAGAGTGGATGAGGCAGGGAAACGGCAGACTGGCTTGTGGCAGGCGTTTTGAAGTTCCTACACACTTCAGCGTCCAGTCGGACAATCTGGAAAGACAATGACAACACTTACGCCATTCACATCTATTAGCCGCCATTTTTCGCAATGTCTCCTGCCAAGCGCAAATAGGGTCACGGGGACGCCATCCTGAGAAGAGGACCGCAACAATAACGCTTAAACTTTTTGTAGTATCTTTCACACCCTCCTACCAAGTCACAAATCGTCCACCTCGCAGTGTGCGATACTTTGAAGGGGGCATGGGGAACAAAGCTCGTCTCGGTAGACGTTATTTAGGCATAAGTGACGAGTGACCGAACCATCACAATTGGTGGTGCTGGGTGTTCTTTTCGCAAACGAAGTACCTGCTACGCAGCAAAAAACCGTTTTCTATTTACCTCGCCGTGAACCCGCTGACTGCATCGGACATCAGCAATGAATCGGTTGCCAAAAAATTGAATACGCCTCACATCATCCGTCAGCATAGACCGTGTCTCGCTACCACACAACAATAAAGCCCTTACTAGAGCCTAGTGCGCGTAACCCTTGAAACGCAAAGATGTGCCGTTTTGAAACCATAAGTGACGTATATGAGCAAACGTGATTTGGACCTTTGAGTTTCGTGCACTTTCATGAATCCCTTTCCCTGTAAGATTCCCCACAACCTCCACTTCTTCATGTATTGCGAGTGGCATGTTCAGAGACTGCACGTCCTAAAATACAGCTATGTACTTTAAAGGTGCAAGGCACAAGTCGGAAGGTGTTATTATGCTGGCCAGTTAATTCAACAGGGCTTGTGTTTCGCCTTTGTTTTCGAAGATGAGGACGATGTCACCTGCGCACTCCAGATAGACAAGGTTCTCATCGGCAAAAAAATTTAACACTGGAGTTTTGAAGACAGCGGTAAAAGATAGTGGGTCAGGGAAAAAGACTAACGTAGTGCGAAAATTATGGTGTAATGAAACAATTTGTCACAACTCTGACAGCATCGCCGCTTTTACCATTGGATCTCTCATTTATGAGGTTTTTAATGAATTAAGTTTCACAAATTGCAAGATAAGCGTGGGAATAAGACAATGGCCACTGTTTTCTGTGGACGTTAAAGTTACTGCAAGTACAAACGTCTAACATGGCATCAGGTTTAGGTATCTGTTCGTAGTCGACGTTTAAACAAAAAACCGCTTGCTGATAGCTCAACATCATGCGTACTTGTCACATGGATGTATTAGACTGAATTTCAATGGGCTAAATTTAAACCCAAAGTTTGAAAACAGTAGAAGCAATGTTGAGAGGGGAAAGCTCTGACAGTAACTGAAGTGTGTGTGTGGGGGCGCACATTCCAAAGCGAATGGAGCGAACTGGCTTGGAAAATGAAAAGGATAGGTACCACCACTTCCGGATATAATTATCCTAGTGAAGGACAGAAAATAGTGAGTTGAGTGACCGTTGCATTTCTGAAGAGATCAGAAAGATTATTAAAGCACCAGGAGTTACGCGTCCACTGTTCTGATCACAAAGGACTTCCTTTGAAAGGGCACAATGAAAGAAACTAAAACCTAATCAAAGCAGAGGTGAACAACTGAATTGATTTCAATTTTCGTCATTACACCTTAAAAAGGCTATCTTGGTTAGTTGAAACTTAGGGCACTTCCAAAAATAAACTCACTGTACAACTTCCAGTATTTTATTCATGAACCAAAAACTGGCAGCACCCACTCCCACACTCTTTCAAATCTCTAGACTAGTTTTGGATGGAGTTGCCGGAACGATTGTCTTTGTAGTTTCTCTTCACCACTTGAGTGACATCGGAATTCAGAGGGGCTTAGATTACCAAACCATGTGAAGATTCTAGTGGTGTTATTGGGTTTGTCTTAGATTTACAGATACGCTTATCTTGTTGCGTAAGTTCATTGTAGGGATGCTGATCATTTCATTTTGTAGTGACCGCAGTGGGTTGGGGGCACTGTTCGCCAGTTCCAGAAAACTTTTTCTAATTCATCTTAGCGCAATTATACTAGTCAATTTTCTCCTTATAATTATAGGCTGTTTGCGATCGTAACGTGGCGGAGAATGTGTCCCGAGTGCTTTATCCAAACGACAACTGCTTCGAGGGTAAAGAGCTCCGATTGAAGCAGGAATACATGCTTGTGTCGGCTACCCTTCAGGATATCCTGCGACGTTTCCAGCTAATTGATGACAATGGACCACAGCGGATGGATTACAACCGCCTTCCAGACAAGGTTGCCATACAGCTGAATGACACACATCCATCTTTAGCCATCCCCGAACTGATGCGAATACTGGTTGATATCGCAGGTTTGGATTGGTACAAGGTAATTTAACTAATAATTGTACAGAATATATGAATAGTTTCTGCACAGAAACAAAACACAGACAGGTGATGTGGTTCCGAATCACCAGACTTACTCATCCGGAGAAGATAGGAGCTGTTAAGCGCAAAATTCCTGATGTGGCTGTACACTTCGTGGGTTGAAATTAGCTATTTTTTTTTGGAAAAATAACCTTCGACAGATAACTTACTGCCGTTCTCGATAAGGAGGTGTCCTTGTTCCAAACGGCACACCACATCAGCTTAGTGCACATTCAATCGTCTGTCGTATATTTTACAGCTTTTTGTGTTTCACAAGCTGGTTTCAAGTTTCTTAGATAAATTCAGATGTTCGGTGCACACTCTACACGTAAATATTAATCATAGTTTGACGAAAACCACACCAACTGCACAGAATGGCACAACCTGCCTCCTGTGGGTCATGCACCGGCCAATCGAACGTTTTATATAAAGTCAGGCTTATTTTGAAGGAAAGCCAGTCTCGCAAACAGATGTTTGTCAAACCCCGGAGAAGTTCTCTCGAGATTAACGAAGCCACATTGAAATCAGCATGTTTTATGACTTTTTGTCGAACCAGCAGTCGGCTTATTCAGATGACTGAGTAACTACTTGCGAACAGCTAGAATAGTCATCTGTTCTTACGGTTGACCAAACCAAAATCCTGGAATTTCGCTGACTGTTCACTGTTTGACACTGAAACGTCATCACTTCCTTGATGTTTTAGGATAGGAAAAAACGGCCAAGCTTGTCACAGCTGGTTACTATAACATTCAACCCAAAATCTGGGTGAATTGACCAGCGCATGGGTGTAAGTACAAGATTAATCGGTAAGAATGCGCAAATCCATCGATCTGGGTTAAAGTAAACGTTACGTGTATCGTTACATGATTGCTTAGTATGAATACACCCACTGTTACAAGTAGGCAGGAGGATAAGACATCACTGCAAGACTGGCACACACCTCCGTCCCATAGGATTCTTGGACGTGGAAGTTTTCAGAAGTAATTAGGATGAGCATGGGACCCCGTGGGACAAACAAACCGACCGAAGATGAAACGCAACCGTTTGTTACTCCTGAATTCGTCCGCTGGACGATTTGAACCGGCAACCCAAAAGCTTCACTCGAAGTCTTGATCTGAGCAGCCATACCCACATAGCGATGTGGTTTGTGAGCAGCTTGTCGTCAGATGATTTGAATACGAGTCGCATCTTTCTCTAGGACGATACATAGGGCGGTCACTTTGTCAAATCGGGTCCGTCACTGTGTAGATGTCACGCATATTTTGTACGATAACCTTGTGATTAGAAAGTGTTCTAAACTGAAACATGAGGTGGCATTTGTGCAGCACATTCAGTTGAAGAATATTATAAAGATGAGAGACATTGTCAGATATGGCCCGGTCGCGCCCTCAATGGCGCTCGTGCATCCAAGCTATTGCCTTCAATGCATATCTCCTTTTCCAACCAACCCCCTACCTAACAGCCCACTGACAGTGCTGGATTTATACACCAATTTATCAGCTCCTGCCTGCAATGCGCAGCTATCTACCCCTACCCCCCAATCCTCGGAGCGCCAGCTACAACCAGTGTACGACGAGTGCACGGTTATTACAGCTGACAATGATGATGATGATGATATCATAAACATCAGTTGGATCTTCCGTGAAAACCCCGTTGGTATGCAAATGAGTGTATTTGTCAAATAAGTAACATCTTCTTAAGGGAAATAAGTGTACCGTGCTCATTTTTAAACTAAAGTGACCCAACGCCAGAATAATAGCTCCGAATCCAGGGGCTTTTTGTTATTTTTTCCCCAGCTTTTTCCAACCAAACCCACGTCATTCCCGCTCGAACGGATCTTCCTCCAGGTTGTCTGGATTACTATGCCTAAACGAATTAGCGATTGAGCAGAGATTCGGCCTTTTAAATAAAGTTAATCTGTGTCACAAACCAAGAGTCACTGTTCAACTGCTTCACCCTCTTCTGGAATCGTGAGCAGTGTGCGTCTCGCTTCTAGCTTGATTCATATCCCCCACATCTCGGCTGTAGTGGAATAAAAGCATGAGTGCAAAGATTAGCCGGCCAGCATTGTGATGCACTTGTATTTGGACAGGATACAGCGCCACTCATGCTTCGGTCACGTTCTAATTGGCTCCCTAAGTGTTAGGTTTTAAATGGACAGTTTACGCAATTTGCCCTTCTCTCTCAGCTATTGGTAGTTTACTGAAAGCATGGAAAGATTGCGAATCCCCAGTGAAAGTGGTTGATCATCAACAAAGTATGCCATGGGCGAGAGTTAGCCCCTTGTGGTTCATCAGTAAAGTTGACTATCCTAGGCTACCTTCAATAACATTCTTGGTAGTTCACTTCGTACAGTTTCTAGTGGCTGATTTCTGCAAATGAACGGCTCTGAATGGAATTTACTTGGTGGCCGACAAAAGTCATGTTTCCACCGTGATATAACACTTGTCTGAGTCTACGTCGTCATTCAGTGGGAGAAGAAAGGAACAAATCGAAAAGCAAATGGACACAGTGGATACTATCGGCGTTTGACCAAGGTTCCCGCTAGCAAGGTTACCGTTAAAGATTCCCGAAGATTTAAAGGTTTTTGTTTTTCTTTCCTTTTTTTGCCGTTTTTGCTTGGAAGCAGCTTCTTACAGCTTAGTGGGCGATCTCACGGGAACATACGCAGTTTATAAGCCAGAAGTTCTACGAGTATATTGTCGCATGCCACACAACCGCAATCCTGTGGGCGCCTTCGAATAAGCTGGTGACCCCATCTTGGAAGCTTTGTTGAACTGAATATAAGCATTCATATTCTATCCATCGTATTGATAATGCCCGACTGGATTTTTAGTTTGTGATATCCAATCAAATAACCCGCTTAATGGGCACCTTATGATTTCTCAGGATCCTTAATCAACACATCCAAAAAATGTTTCTTGGTGCCATACTAACTGTAAGATTTAAAAGTTCAGATCCATATTCTTGTCACAGAAATCCGTGCTAAAGCTTAATGTTGCAAGATGCAGTGGACATGTGTTTTTTTTTGCATCGTTTTACCGTGTAGCGAAATATGAGATACATAGTTGGTCTTTTAATCTCACTGGTGCTACTTTTCACTGTATCAGTCCTGGGATATCGTCGTTCGCATATTTGCCTACACCAATCATACTATCCTCCCTGAGGCATTGGAACGCTGGCCTGTGGAAATGATGAAAAAGCTTCTGCCACGGCACATGGAAATTATTTACAAAGTCAATTATGATTTCCTAGAGGTGAGGCGCTCTGTAGATTGCAAACTCATTTTGGCTACAACTACCTTTATCTCCCTGGTCTTGTTGTCGATTTTTCACATCAGTGATGGTTTAAACTGCGATGTGTATTCACTGCACCGACAGACTGGAGATGTCCAATGATGTGATCACTTTTTCAGGTGTGGAATAATCCAACTGGAGTTGTTAGAACTACAAAACTCATGCGAACGATGGGCCAGCTTGCCCCCTCCCACGTATTTCCTCCTTAGTCGAACAAAAGGAGTTGATGGTGTGATAATACACTACCAATGTTCAATTTCAGCATAGCTGATAATCACAGTGAGGATGGTCATGATGCTAACGATGGGGACGATGATGGTCCTTCAGGTTATCCTCATCATCATCATCATCATCACCGTCATCACCATCATCATCACTACAGAAATTCCGAGACTCTTTACCTCATGTGTTGTCCGGATACTGACGACACGTTTAAACGTTCCAGTTTAGCCTTATTGATGATCACAGCAGTCTTCTGCGACCAGTAGCGATCAGATAGGATCGCATGGGTCTGCTTGTGGCCCACAGGTTTGAGTAATATTTATCAGTTAATATGTCACTTTGTGCTTCATAGAGTAGACCAGATGAGGCTTTATTCAAAGGCCTACTTTTTGATGACCAGATTGTTAGGTTTTATGCAACCCCACTGACACATGCCTACCAAGCGTTGCTTCAATTTACTTCACATCCGATATTTCGGGGTTCATGAGAAGCTTTTATCTTCCTCGCTAGGGTATGTTATTTTCCAATTAGCTCTGAAATAAATCGTCCGTCGGAGAATCGATAATATTAACCCACTAGCCAAAAGGGTCTCGCAGCAAACTCTAATATATTCACGTTTATCCCTTATATAATCTTCCATTCACTACGCCATGACGAACACAGGACGAGAGCCAATCGTACATAATCTCTACACCCGTGTGAGAATAACGTTCTTTCAGCCGAGCGTCTGTATTCGATTAAATGTCAAAATGGCCTTTATGCTACACGATATACATCCATAGTTTATGGCATATTTTTTGACGTCATTTATACATGGTTGTTGTTCTATCAGGATATTTCAGTGCTTTTACGAAGGAATGGGAACAAATATGGAGGAGCTGTATGTTGCCGTCTTTTGATCAGATGAGATCTGGTTTTCTACTCTGTCAAAAGGTGAACAAGTCCAACAGCTCTCTTAGTCCATAGAATATATAAATATATATGTATATATATGGTACACCTGAGCCAGGATGGTTTCTATATCGGTGAGTGGGTAGAATTTAGTAGTAAGGTGATGGGGGAAACTAGTGGGAATTTCAAAAAGAGTAGAAAGGGCGGTAGTGGACCAGCATTCGGTGCGCTTCTGAATTCGGTTCAGCTTATGCCACTAATCACAACTGTTCAATGTCTTTTGAGCCCCGCCCGGGACTTTTTCAGCTGTAGGAGGAAGCACGAGGGCTGCCAGGCTGCCCAAGCCTACTTAGGAGGAATCCAGATGCTAGGGTGTGGTTAGAACCATGAGCCTTCCGGTTAGGGAGATCGTGCCCTAAACACTGAATCAACTCAGGCTGGCATAAACCATTTGCCGACAGATGATGAGTGATCTGCTATTTGCCGTAAGGACGAAGTGACTAAGTGATGACTTGTGATGCTCTTCGAAGGAGGCTGTGAAAATGAGTTACAAATTTATTTCTAAGTGCGTCGGAGATGCAGGTATTGGGCACCCAAGTCAGGGGTGGAAATGAGAAACATCGCCCTCTGTGTCGCAGTTCACTGTACGGGACCCCGTTAATCTAACCTGCTTCTGATAAGGGTCCACTGCAGAATTGCGGTTTATTTGGTGGTTGAGAGCAATTTCAGAACCACCTAGACCCGTTTTTTGGACAATCGAACAGCGTAAATTGCTTCGTTTATTGCACACCATCTACACAAGCAAGTAGCTGGCTTCAAATCGTTTCAGCTAACCACGTTGAAATATTCAAAGTCGTCACAAAGCGAACAGCATGAGGATGAAATCTAGTGAGAATTTAAAGTGAAACACCTGCAGCGTGGGAGTCAAATATGGCTTATGAATGGTTGCCAGTTAATTCCAAGTTTCCAGTAACGGCAATTATTTCTGACTTGTTTGTAATGACTTGGGTCATAGTTTCAACAGAAATGTGCGTTACTGGTTACGCAGACCTAGTGAAATGGGGTAACTTACTGAAAGCTCACCCAGAGCATTTGATTGATGACCTGATCTGTGAGCAAACTACGAAACCCAACTTAGACGGTGAAACTTACTAACATTGACGATCAAACTCTTTTCGCCTTGTTTGAAGCTATGGATAGTAAAAGATGCCCTTATTATTGCTGCTAAGACATAAGTTCTTCCACAACGGGTGTTCAGTCTTGTTCGCTTTCATGACCAATCGGTTTTCTGCAGTTTGTGTTAGTTACTGCCCACCATGTGAACAAGTAGGCTCTGAGCATTGGTGAAATAAATTGCACAACGATACTCCTCTCTTTAGATGGTCTCGAAACGCTATCCAAAAGATTTGGAAAGACTTCGTCGCATGTCGATTATTGAAGAAGAGCCCGTGAAAGCTGTCAACACGGCCTTGTTATGTGTCATCGGATCACATGCAATTAACGGCGTCTCCGCCATTCATTCGGACATCATTCGTAATGAAACGTAAGTTGTTGTTCGAACCATCAACCGCAGTAGATAGGCACCATAGTAAGCAACATGCTACACCCCAGAAAAGCAATTTTTATCTAAAAGTGTGTTGATAGTGGGCTGGTTATATTAATCACCATCAGAAGCAGCATCAATGGACATTGCTTTTTCACTGTCCTACATATGTGAGTTATGTCTCACGTGAAAACTCAATTGTGAGAAGAATAAAATTTGAGAAAAACGAGGCCTAAAACAACTTGTTCATTTATTGTTCTGTGATAGTATATAAGTTGGAACTTTTAATCGAGCAAACCAGAAAGAAGAGTAATTCAAAGCTTGTTTGACCCGACGAGCCAGTCAACACGTGACTGTGTGGGGTATTCCGTGGCTGAAGGATAAGTGACGCTATATCTCGTCTGATTGCGAGTCAATCCCACTGCTGATCAGCCACTCATGGTCGAAGGGTATAGTTTTCCACTGTTAGCCAGAAGTCGCCCGATCAAAGAACACTAAAGATACGTGGGCTGCTCATTTCTAATGGTTCCAAACAAGAATAAAGCATCTGTATAGTGCTTATTGGGCTTCGGAATGAGTTTACTTCACTTGCATGACGAAATATCGATTGAAAATTCTCAAATATTTCCGCGCTGCCAACAGAGCATTCAGGTTACTGGCTGTCACTTTCTGCTCCTGGTTGTGCGCCGCACCGCTCTGAGCCGTGTGTTGACGCTCATGTAGTGCGATTCACCGAAATCCGTTCTGATGTGTGTCGTTAAACCGAAGACCCGTAACGGAACCCAAAAAACAGTGCTTCCTAGAATGCAGTTATTTAGGAAGCGATCGTTTACAGAGCAGAACCACCAGAACAACCTACGTGTTACTTGTGATCAGTAAAGTTATCTTCCTCTTTGCAATACATCCTTAAGTTGTTCAAGAAAAACCTTAGCCAAGCACCCAGATCACATGAAATCTAATTCTGCCGAATAATCGCTACCTTCCTAAAGCGATATTTTCGTTTATTTAGCTTCCTTTCAGTTTTCTTAGAATTCAGTGTTGTGATATCTGTCATGTTGGCTTCATTTTTTTCAAGCATAATGCAAATTAATCATTTTGGATAAAAAGCCGGTATTTAGAAATTGAAATTATCCATATGATGAGTATGAACCTCATGAGTGAAGCAAAATGTCACTTCCTTTAGTAAGTTTTATTCAGACCTACTGAATACGAAGGGGAAAGAGAGTTTTCGGCCAACCAAAAGGTGGTTAACGAAATTTCGATAGAAAACTTCCCATTGGAGTAGGGTGCCCTCGGTCTCTCCCAAGCAGTATCGCAGCTGTCCCGTGCTTCGACATATCACGTTGCGTCATATTCTGTCTTTATTAACCTTGTACTCGAACTCATAAGCAGTCTACTGATTTGGCGACATGTCACAGAACCGCTAGCAGCCTGTATTAGTGATATAGAATGCATTCATTGTAGCAGTTCCTTTTGGGACGTGAATCGGAAAACAGGAACTTTCTTCCCTTTGGTTTTGGTTGGTTTGCTCTACCAACGTGAGGAGGAATGGGGTTGGCAAATTGTGCATCTCTCAAATCGTCTTCACTAGACAGTCCCCCATGAAGATTTGGGTGCATTGTGCAAAAAGGATCTTTCAATCAAGTAATTTAACAAACACTGCGTATACCGCGTCTTCCATCTTCGATAGATTGTCAGATTTTGGTTTGTGTTCCTGTTTCTTCCGATAAACGCCTTTAGGTTTAAGGATTTTGCAGAGCTCTGGCCTCATAAATTCCAAAACAAAACAAACGGAATTACCCCGCGTCGCTGGTTGATGCTATGCAATCGCAAACTGGCCGATCTGATCTCGTCTAAGCTCGATGAAGATTGGATTACGGAGTTGAGCAAGTTGGCACAGCTAAAGGGACAGGCCGATTCCAAAGATTTTCTTGAGAAAGCCATGCAAGTAAGTTTTGGCAGATGGTTTTTTTTTGTATGATTCACGCACACATTTGTGCCGTCCAGTATGGAAAACTCATCAAGCGTTGAGCTGCAAGGGGCTTTCTCCAGATCAGGATCAAGTAAGAAATGAAACTTTTTATACACAAACAAGTGCTGATATACGCTGCGAACATCTAAAAAGTTCGTAAGAGATCAATGCACGAGTGTATCCCAATGGGTGAATGGACGCCCGAATATGTCCTGAACAGACAGCTAAAGATAAACATCAAAGTAGGTAGCCGCCACACAGGGGTTTCGCACTTGGCTTTGAACGACATCAGCTAGACTTCTCAGAATTTCTTAAGCTACACATTACGAACTTGGAACTTCAGTGAGGCTGGAATACTACCAGTAGTTAATTGTGCACGGAAAAAAGAAAAGACATGGGTCTACAAATAACTGAAGAATAATAAACTTTGGTTAGGAGTTCTGGGTTCAATTTGGCTTGGGTCCTGTTGAGATTTGGGAGACAAAAAACGACAAGATGTGATACGTGGCCCTAACCGGACAACATAGGTAAACTTTCAAAGGAGTTTTACAAATAGTCGGCTTTTGTCCAGATACAACACCAATGGGATCACTCATCATGTCGCTTGATCGTCATGTTCTTGAGGCCAGTCGTTGGTGGGATAAGATCAACGCGTGCGTTTCTGTTTTCCAACTCCGTGTACTTTCGTTTGTAATTGAGTGGCAAACAGCTCTTGCTGTCATCCAGGGCGGGGATACAACTGTCCAAAGCGATAGGAGATTTCAGTGTATCATCTTTGGTTGGATCTAGTTTGGGTTACCGGATTTCCCGTTTGTTTTCATCTGCATTTCATTTCTGGTTTGTATGAATTATGCTGTGTTCTGCTGTATTGAGTTTCATTGCATGGAACTCTGTAGTGCAGTATTCGGTCGAGTTTCATTTTGTGCTTTTTTTTCGCCCATGCATATGCAACTGATCCGTCTAAGCATTCTGAAGGGTAAAGCCTACAATGGTGCCAGAAGTGACTGTCTGTGACCACTGTTATACCGAACAAGTTCTCCAATGTCCAACACCAGATAACATCTAGGGTAAGTCTTTTGACTGACGCGAGTCGCCTGACCACATTGAAAGTTATGGGCCACAAATTGGGCACGCTCATGACCTCGGAACCACCAGTCTGGTTCATGGCCCAGTCTTATCCCCTCGGATTTACTCCACGTATGGGGCTTTCAGCTAAGTGTACGTGTGGTGCAGCACAAACTGCACTTGGCCTCACCTATCGTACATGGGGGTCTTTTCACCTAATGTTTGATGTGACAAGCCAATCCGGAACCGCTTAGACTACGATGCGGACCAGTGGGTAGCTGTGTCAGCTAGATTCGCGTGTGCCTCATTGTTCGGAATGTTGTTGAAATTCTGCTTTGGTGCAAATCTGTGCTGAGTCTGATGCGATGTTTCGTTTCAGTGGGAACTTTAAACCTTACGAGGTGTCATTATAAGTTCATACGGATATAGAAGAAATTTCGGTATCGTAATATCCTAGAACGTCATTCCGATGGCATCAAAATTACGGTCTCTGTGATGTACACCGGCTGTTTGGCTAACTGGATGACAGCGTGACCGACCCCATTTGCACCACACTCGATCCGTAGTCGATGGCAAAAATGTTTGAAAATGGTTGCTAACGATGTATGATATATCGGATTATAACGTTTCATCCCACTTTTCAGTGACTTGCCTTAAAGTTGCCACAAAAATTTTCTCCAGATTTTATTCGGAACTATGCCAAGTTTTCAATGTCTTGTCAGCCCGTGATTGGTTGCATAAAATGCTTTCACGAACAAATGAAAAACGTTCACTTGAGTTTGCCTCGTGAAACCAGTTGCAGAAAATGTAATGCCAAAATGTGTGGCTTAACAGCATGAATACACTCATGATTCTGATGTGCGGTCCAGTTTTCAACACTAACCTAAGCTTTGCTTTCCCTTGCTCTGCTTAACCCCATTAATCACCTATTTACTTCACTGCAACCGATCCCTACAACTGGATGAAATGCCGGAACGCAGTCGCTCACGATTGACACATGATGTCAAGGCTGACACAGCTGGCAATCCATTCTTGCTTTCAGCAATAAATACCGTAGGTGGATTGGCTACAAAGCCCAATATTTTTTGTCCTCCTTGTTTCTTTCATCGCTTATTTGTCCACTCTTCTCGATTCGGTTTCTCTCCCGAAAATATGCTTTCTCCTGTTGCCCAGTAGTATAACGATAGTCTTCCACAGGATGGGGTGTTATGCGTTATCTTTTAGCACTTACCCTTGGAAGTGCTGTTTCAGGTGATCCTTCAGCCTTCGGTGGAAAACTCGTCTCTGACGCCCTGAGACAATCAATCTCACATTTTCTCAAGCCACGGAAGTGATCGCCTTCGAATGGTCGAACCAGGACTGTCTCGAGATAGTAAAGAAATAAGCAGATTTGACAGGTGTTGGTAGATGCAGCTCCGTCACCCAGTACGCACCGCACATTATACCCGTTCATCAATAATCGACAGATTCAAAGGTGAATACACTGGCAGGAAGACAAATCAGCTATCAAAAGCGCCAACCGGAAACAGAGGCTTTTGCAGTCTACCCTAAGCAGTCATTTGCAGCTTTCTGTTTCTCTTCTTCCCTTACGCAATGCCCAAACCTGGAGGTCGTAAACTCTCCTGGTTAGAAAAACTGTTCTTCTCCCACCTGTTTAGCCCTAGTTCCTTTCTTCTCTTCCTATCCCTATACCAGCCTGACCCGCCTTGTCTGCTCACTTTGCTTATTACTAGCTACCATCATCGTTTCCTGTCAGTACTTAATGCTTCCAAACCAACTGGTTCAGATAATCTCTTCCTCATTTTCCTCCCTGGCTGTTCTCCTGAACTTGCCCCAACTATTTCCAAAGTGCGTTCGTTTATGCTTATCCACTGGTGTCTTTTCCTTCAGGATGGAAAGATTCACTTGTCCCTTGTATTCCCAAGATCGCCTCCCGCTGTGACTACAACAATCACGAAACCATCTCGATCACTCAGTTTTCTTCAAAGCTCTTGAATCAGTTATGATCAAACAACTCCACAATCTCGGAAAGAACGCTGTCTTGAATGGCGACCAGTATGGGTTCAGGCGTGGGTGATATTTTGGGTTTCGTGTCACCCGTTAAGCCTTCATCTCTGATCGCTTTCAGTAGAATAAGTGTGGCTGCTCAGAAACACCAAGAGCTTCTGATCAGGTCTGGTTTATGGACATTCTTGCCAAGCTACCCAGATACGGGCTGCAATAGGATATATCCAGTCGTGTTGGATGCTCCCCGTATAGCAATTTTGTTCCCGCTCAAATCGAGGACATCATCTCTCAGTGTTCCAATTCGTCCGCTGTCATATGAACAATCTCGTGTCTTCCGTAATGCCTCTTAAACATGCTATTCCAGAAGCTGTCAATCTACACTGCTTCTTGCTCCACTGATTCCGGTGCTTCAGCGCACTCCAACTCTACGTTTACCGGACAGGGGCCATCACTCTCCTGAACACTGACCTTGCCACCATACTGGGCTAGGAGTCGCTGAATTCAGAAATGCTCAGTCTTTTTAAATGCCTGCATGCCTTGACGTTCTGCGAAGATTTCACTCCTGATTTCAACCTGCTACCGGAATCTACTACCATTCCACATTCCTTGTCGACTTCTTGTACTGGTAACCTATCCTAGTCCCCAATGTCAATTTGCCACGCGAGCGTCTTGGACAGCTGAATCTTTTTTACGGGAAGGCAGCTATCTCACCGTGGTCTAAGTTCTTCGCTTCTTCAGCTTCCCTTACTATAGAACTATCTGGTGGGACTCTAACTCCTGCTTGATTCAGTTCAGCGTAAATTCGTCAACATCTCTTCACTGAATGACAACATTTGAACACCTTCTAACCATCAAAACACTGGTTCTCTTGCTTAATTCTAGCGCCACCACCGTGGAAAACGCTTCTGTCTCTGTCCACTTCTCACATTCTGATAACACACCATTGCTAAATCAGCTATCCCAATCAACTGACTAGTACACTTTGAAGAATTCGTCACTTCACCTCTTCTTTCTCCCAAGAAAATCGTGTCTTGGAACATTCTGGTACTCTCCCTCTTTCCTCCCTTGCTCTTTTAACCTGCGCTTAAAAGACACAGTGTCTATATCAACTCAACTTGAGGTGTACGTTATTTTTTGTCCTTGTTATCTATCGTTCTTCACAGGGGCTGTTTTATCATGAGCTGTTCCTTCCTATATAATTTGAATTTATGAATTTAAAAATTGCGTATGATTAGTCCTGAAATACCGGAGCAGCATTGTCGTACCTTATAACCGCTTGAAAATACTCCCAGAACATCCTTCAGACACCAACAGTCGAAAGCATATAACTTTCAGATATTGCCACCTAGCTTCACATTCGTATAGAGCAGGATGAAGGGCATTTCAGAAGATATGGGCCTGTGTTATTACGACTACCGCACATCCGAGTCACAGGACTTTCTCAGGTCGTAGAATTGCTATTCTGGTGCTATCGATGCGAGTTCCCACCTTGTCATCGGCCTGATCGTACAAGAAGTTATGGCGGTGGAGGTAGTTGAACATGACCGCACTGTGTGGTACGATCATTGGTACACGAAGCAACAGGCTGGCAGAAACCGTCATCGTTTTCGGGATAAGGTCGCTGCCAAATGTAGCTTCTAGACGTTTCGAGATATTAGCCGACATTAGTAGCACACAGGATTCCGGAAGTCCAAATATCTGGCGAAAGCTGCACACCTTGACCGTCTCTTAGTGTATGGCTCGAGGTCTGACCCATGGTGTAGCTGTAGAGCACCTGACATAATGAGCATGCACAAACGCTTAGATGTAAAACGGTGACTACTACTGTGTATTCCTTCAGTAGCACATTTTCTTTCTAACCGACGGCTTTAGAGGACTTTTTCGGTTGCATTGGAATAACAGACCGATATTTATACTAGAACGATCTTACCGTTTTCTCACTACCTTATTTCTAACTGAGTTATTAGCAAAGTTTCAGCTAGCCGATACTTGTGTCCTTTTCATGTAATGTTTCTGTGACGTTTCCACACCACAGCATCAAACGAATGAAGGTTGGTTTGTAAGAATAATTGATAAGCATTTGCTCATTTGGCCTGACATAGTTTTACAGACCGTACTGTACAATGATGCAAGAGGAAAGACCAGTCATGTCGAACGTACTGATGGCATCTGGTCGCGTCTTCACCGATCAAATGTCCTGATACGAAAATAAAACGTACGCACACTGGAAATTACCTTTTATTTGCAGGTCAAAATGTTCAACAAACGGCGCTTAGCCACACACATCAAAGAGGAATACGGCATTGAGGTTGACGTGAATTCCATTTTCGACGTCCAGGTAATTCAGCTTTAAGCTGTGTAATAACAGAGTTCTTCATTTTATTCTTATTTGCAATGTTCATCATAAGTGTACTCTCTGGGTGTTTGTTGTCCCGTTGTCATCCTTCCATTTTGTCTCAGTATTCAGCTGCATGTCTCAGTAGTGAGTGGAGAAGGATAACTACGTCTGGCAATGATGATATCTTCGATTTTCCCAGAATGTATGTAATCACCAGGTGAATACGTTCCTCGAATATATATATATATATGTATATATATATATATATATACGAGCCTCAAGGTTCCAATGAGTAACATCGAACTGGGACACGAATCTCCATCGAGTATCATTATCATGATCATCATCAGCGTTATTACCGTTAATGTCACGATCATCGACAGTACATCAGTTATTTCATTAGATAAGGTGCATTTTTTAAGCGATCACATCATGGCTAGCACAGCCAACTGACCTTGGTCAGCTGTATGCGTCAAATGAATGAGACGGTTAGCATCCATTTAGGCTTGACAGACTTTCCCGCAAGTTCACATATGCATAGACGTGGATTCACCTCGTTGTCAAATTCCGATAACGGATAACCGTCGTTTATGAAGCTGAGAACAGTGAACAAGAAATCAGATGTGGGACAACAGTATCCGTAAGTTTGCTTACAAAAATATCGGGTGAACCAAACCAAACCCAGAAACCACAAATGCCCAAATTCAACCTGCAGCAGAGCGTTGTGTTAGTTTTGTAAATATCTATCTACCGGAAGTGTCTTATTCTGAAGGTTGAGAAGCGAGCTTTACACCCAGCTGCCTGATGTTTTTTAAATAATACGCACCACATACCGTCTTTTCTTATTGTGAGTTTGCAATACACTACTTGGTCAATATCCAGAGACTGGGAATGACACGCTGGAGTATCTCGTGACTGGACCAATGAACAACAATGGCCAACGCCTTTTTTCCGTGTGTGCGTGTGTGGTTTAGTCTCGTAAAATGAACTCATGTGAGTAGTCATGGACGACTTAATAACTATCTCATTATCCAACAAAGAGACTTCAAATATTTTGTGATTACCTAAGTGTTGTATGGTGCTCAGTTCAATAGGGACCATCGTTTGGCACCAAAGGAGGTCCATGTTACTGTAAGAAAAACGCACCACCGTAGAACGAAGTAACAGCTTGCGGGGTTAGTTGTCGCCAAACGGAACTACTAGGTAGGTGTTCCGAAATTTCGGCTGATATCCACGGAGATTTAGTAACTAGCTTTACAGGAGCCAGGAGACGAATAATGAGCTGAAAAACATGTGTGAAGCTGCGTTAGAGACGACTGCGTTAAGAAAACAAACGCGAAAGGACTATCCTGACAAAAGTGACACTGCGATTTCCTTCACGGTCAAGCAGAAGAATACAGCTTTCAGCCAAATAGTGAGGGATCCGTCAAGATCCACTGCCTAAAATAAGTTGCGAACCACAAGAAGCAAACTCACGGAATGTTTGCGAAGGGTCAGAACATGGATGGCGAATGAAACAAAGTGAAGATTGCTATCTTCATAAAGAGATCTTTAGATCCTTGGAAGGTCTTTGAACCGAGAGCCCAATATCTTCAACTACTTCAATGAATCCGGATCGGCGAAATGCCAATAAAACTGACGATATTTTGGATGTGTGGGAGATAGTTCTCTCAAGGAACTACAAGTAGAAGTTTTTCAGTTGCCTGTAGAAATTATTGAATAGTTGAAAAAGGTATGAAAATGAATTTTTCTATTCAATCTGTTCAATATAGGAAGCTGAGATTGTTCGACATGATAAGAAAGGTGCTGGCTCAGTACCTTTTTTAAAAAGAAAAAGAGCCAGATTGAAGTCACCAACTGCCGTGGAATCAGTCTATCCCATACTGGTGGCGATATACGGATTTGCATACTAAGGAATAGGACAAATGCGGAAATTTCGGATGCAACTGTTCCAAGAAACAGTGTGAATTCCACAGAGGATAAACGATATTCATGAAATAGAAATCTCGCGAGAACAGGCAAACGCCGAATGTTCTATTCGTCGACTTCATGAAGACATTCGGTTCGGTGAACGGAGAAGCCTTGTGGATCGCCATTCGGAAGATGGGCTGTCTAAGTAAAATCCCTTACCTTGTCAAATCTGCACTTTAGAACGAAGCTGAACGTCTAGACTTACGAAACTAGGTCTGTAAACCTCAACATTGACACGGATAGAACAAAGCTGTGTTATGATGCGAATTTCGTTCAGCTCATACAAAGACTTCTTTCCGAAATTCAAAAGATAGTGCAGCTATTCGCCATTATTCGCTTTAACACGCCTTCTAGCTAAACGAATTTTAAGTGACTCGAATGTCTCTATGCTGTTGTTTGATGGCAGACTTAGGAGCGAAACGACGGCATCCAACAGCCTCATTTGCGGCTTAATTATAAATCATTGTGGAACGATTGTTTAGTGTCGACTTTTCTTAGGGGCAGAGACCTCTACCAAGCATAGAAGTGAGTGGTGTTGGGATAGACTGTTGCCCACATTCCTGCTATCTCGGCAGCGCCCTGACCACTGACAACCAGTCGGCAGAAAGTTTATCGAAAACTAAATTTGTGTTTGGGATACTTCAAAAATGTGTCTGGAACACTCATTACTTGTGATCGGACACAGAAACCGGATTGTTGAGGTTCTGGACACGGGACTTTGAGTCGCACATAGGCTTGACGGTCCCGAATAGCAAAGGAAAGAATTGGGTTCGGAAGTCTACGGTACTATTTGCGCGAAATTATGCCAATTACAGGACAAACCTCAATTGTTCACGGTCGTGACGTCAACACGTGCGCAAGTCTGTTACTGATCAACACAGCTAGGTGTCAATATCCGCAAACCAAACAACGGCGAGCGGAATGTTGGCTCGATGGTATGTGGGCCAGTCTCACTATTCTGATTTGCTGCGCGATAACACGGAGACGATTGCAGCGCGAGTCAGAACAGGCCCAGCAAATGGGTCACGAGCATCCATGGTTACGTAGGCCAATGAAGCATACGCACATCTAGTGTACGAATGTCGGAGGGAGGACCTTTCCGGCAAGGTGAATAGCGGGTACAGAGGCGTAAAAAATGTGGAGGTCGAAAGTACATGGGCGGAGTAATGGTCGGGGTAATCGTCATGGTGACGAGCTAGATTTATCAACCATATCGTTTACAATTTTGTACGATAGCTGTGTTTCGTCCAGATTGTCTACAAAGGATTGTGCTCGTATATTGGTTAGAGTGGATCAATACAGCCGCTGACAGCGGAAATTTGTTGGGCAATAAAAAAGTTGGATGGATACACACCCTACTGGTCTGAAACTCCACAGGACAGCCGACAGAAACATGCAATCGGGTTCACAGTGGCCGATTATATGATCAGAAGAACACTGGACCAGCCGAACTGTATCACTGCAAGGATGTTGACTGCCTGGACATGTTGCAGTTTTTGTCAGTTTGTCTGCTTCACTGTGATATCTCAGCCACAAGTTGAGCAGGAAGAATGCTACTCGCAGTCGCCAACTGTCAACTGATCGACAAATACACACGTTTGCAAATCACTTTGGTCTTCACGGGAGACTCAAGTGAATCTCTCGTGGATTTGTCACAATCAGTCTGATTCGGGTTCAAGTAGAACAACAATTGACGGAAACGACTCAAGTGAATCTCTCGTGGATTTGTCACAATCAGTCTGATTCGGGTTCAAGTAGAACATACAATTGACGGAAACTCGGAGACTGTGCTTACCTGAAGAGCCCCAAGACATGCGAAACCTGACGCAGCTGTCGAAGAGTTTTCAGCAACCATGTGAGTAGTTTCTTTTATGATAACCTATTCCTTAAGGATGATCTCAACGCCGGAATTGGTCGTAGCAAAGAGATCCGGAATGGGTTGTTCGGAGTTGGACCTGTGAAGGCCAATGGCCGGAGATATCTGACCTCGGCTGAAATATTGAACTGGATGAATTCATGCCTAAAGCTCAAGCTTTTCAATTTTGCGCTTATAAAAACATCTTGCAGTGGGATTAAAAATATCCTTGGTCATTGGAGGATTTCCAAAGTAGGCCAAAATTACATACTCACCAAAAACACGTCAATGTCACGTAGATTACACCTTTCTGGTGACGCAAGCTCAATCAGTTTTAGATTCAACTTAATAAGCTGAACTCTCATATCAAATTTAGTACAACAATAGAGACGGATTCGGGAAAAACTAGAAAGTACAGTTTACCATAAGCCAGCTCGTTGGTCCATTCACGAGTACCGCCTCACCTGTTTAGTGCACAGAAGCAGACACCACGTCGAACTCCATTGATGAACGAACTTGAAGATCGTGGATATCCAAGTTGTTTGATTAAGCGTCACTTGAGCATGGTAGTGGGAGCTGTGGCGAAATTTATGGGCGATGCATTGAGACTGCTGTTGTTTCATATAAGCTTGGCATGTCTGACGTCATCCGAAGGATATTGAACCTGGCCATCATAACAGTAGTGTTCCAGAACGGAAAACCTGTAGCCTGTGTACTGGTGAGACTCAAGGATTGCATCTCAGCAGAGACAAGCAGACGGTGTGCTTACAAAATGAATACACCAAAATGTATATAGCACAGATTGGTAGGAAAAGCCATTCCAGAATCGGTTACCATAAGGACATAATAAAAAGACGACCAAGGGATGCAGGTAAATATCGATCGCTAATGGAAGACTCAGAAATGGTGGGATACGTGGTAGATACAGGGTGAAAAGTAGATTTTAGAAATGCCGAATTTTTGGGGATGAGAGTACGATTGGTGCCAAAGCGACTGCTGACGAGGTAGTAAAAATCTTGAGGAATCTCCCTATGAATAATATAGAAGGCACAGAACTGTCATTTGTGAGCTGAGTGTCCCTAGACCGATCGACCCAGTGGACGGAATGTACCAAAAAAGTAGCTAACATCTGAAGTACATGGCCCAAATTGACCGCAATCCAATTAACTCACCCCTTTAACCAAACTTTCATAATGGTTCGAACCTACACAAACCTACAAAGTTAGCAAATGCTAACCAAGAGAAAATCTCCGTTGAATTGCTCAAAACCGGATGATCAAGAAGTCAAGCTCGATTAGCACACCGGCCATGAGATTTATGCGCCCGCACCAACATTGACGTTCAACACCGGAGTACTGGAAGAAATCTGCCTTACCTCTAATACACTGATGGTAGGACACCCAGTAAGTTTGAAGACGCACTGGCTACTCCGATGGTATACATCTCAACATTGCGTCACGATGGGCTCAGATCAAATTTGAACTATGTTTCCCAGGACTTCCTGCAGACGGGCCATCACAACTCACATGCTGAATTTCAAACGGAAGGAGCTAATCACACTATTGCTCAGCTGCTCATGGCAGGACGGTTAAAGTCACGCGTTCGAAACTCTGAGTTTTCTGAGGTGCGCACTGCGGATGATTCCCAGTAAGGACGAAACAGCTGTACAGTACCTCTCGGCTTCTTAGCGTAGCTTGGCCTCATTGACCGGACGAAATCTCAAGTGACAACTGAGCTGCAAAACGAAATGTTGCGGGGGAAGTTGTACCACCTGCCGAAATATTCTTATTGTGCATACCAATACTGGGAGCCGGGGATTTTTGCTTGATTTGGACAATCCGGAAACCTCAAAATAACACAATAGTTCAACGATGGCACTTTTCAAATGGAAACCGACAGAAAACGGACAACCATCGAGGATGAGTATGCCCACATACTGTGGGCAAAACCCAGCACGCGTCCTAGTATAACCGACTGAACACTAATGCTTAATAGCAATGTGGATTCTGAAGCAGACGCAGCACGACTGACGTTATCTTTGCGGCGCATCGTCTGTAGGAAAATCTCGTAAATGAACTAGTCGGTATACGTTCCGTTCAAAGACCACGAAGGACTTTGAATCCGTGGGTAGGGAGGCGATGTAGTTCGTTCTCCAAAATCTCTACTGTCTTTGTCAAAACTAGAAGACTTCCACGGTCTGATATGAAGGTCAGACTAGGTACCCAGGAAACAACATCTGCCGGGTTTGGACTTGACTTGCATGAATCGTGGTTAACCCTGTTCAATTTGCACCTGACTACGATTTAAGCAGAAGCGTTTCGTGTTTCCAAGATGGCGCATCAAACTTGATACGAACTTGATACTCGATAGATTAGTACAAGCTGAGATCGCAGAGCAAAGCACTACTTTCATCCACCCATGCAAACTCGTTTGCAACAACCCCAGTCTGCGTTTGGAGACCAAGGTCGCCCCATACCAAACTGTCGTACTTTCTCCAATGCTGGAGACACTACCTACAGTATGTAATACTGTTCGACAAAATCCACTTTGCCTTACACCATTCTTCGAATTCGGCGATAAGATCGAATCCCGAGCACAAAAGTTCTCGAACAAACCACGATAAATGGAACCGAATGCAAAGCCAACTACGCTGAATAGGTCACAAAAAGAAGAAGACCGATGGTCGCATCTGGAGGCAACATATTTACCCTCATTTAAAGAATACACCCCATACTCGAAGACGACCGAGACTGCGCTACTGTAACAGTCTTCAGGTGAGTTTGGAGAACAGTAATCTTGGTTTCAGATTTTTGGAAAACATGATGCCTGACAGAGTGGCCTGGAAGATTGTCGTGTACACAATCCAGAGGAGCTTTGGGATACAATGTATACAACGCTTGACGACAAGCACATCATTCGAAGCAGCGGTACCATTTCGGTTAAAACCAAAGCCACTTGGGCCAGTTCGAGCTAGGAGCTCACATGCATGAGCAGAGTCGGCCTCACAAGTCGCCAGCGTGTCTAAATGATCACGGAGACATCAATAAATCACCTAGGTAAGTTCCTCTGATTTCAGTCAGTATCGACAATGGTAACGTCGCTGCTACGCCATCCACACTGTATTCTGCTCTTTGTACTTCCGAATATTTTACCCCTGACGAAGTTCAGCCACAGTGATCGAACCAATATAAAGACTTTAATTATTGTTGTCTTTTCTTCATCAGTTTAATTTTCAATCAATACCTGCCTTACCGTGCTGGAATACCAGTAAATGGTACTATTAGTAACAGTCAGAATACTGACACTGTATTCGGCAACACTCAGCGAGCATTGTGGCGGTAATTTATATGGAATGAGTTTGAAATCATTGTGAGACTTGGAAGAACTAACGGATCCGACCAGCTCCTTGGCGTAAAAAAACTCAATTTTGGTGTTTATTTTTATGCCGTCATGCTTCGTACGACTGAGGGCTCTCAGCAGGCCTCTGCATGCTTACTGCGTGACCTTATTCCCTCCGGTTCGTACCGGCATTAGCGGCTTGCACGTAGCACCACACCGAGCTCCCCACCAACAGTTTGTGCTCTATCTACTGCGCACAGCCATCTAATAGATCAACGATTGCTGACCAGCTGATCTGTTTCATATGAAGGACACAAAACCAGCCCCATATCCATGTACATTATCATGTACATATGCATGTATGTATGCCTGTCACTCGAGAAGATCCAGGTAGATTTGAACGTGGAACCTGCGGCGCAAGAATGTATGCCGTCGCTTTTGCTCCATTTCGAAAAAGCGAGCTGAACTTCATTGATTGAGTATGATGCATCATTTAGATAAACTAATTGGTTTCACCTATCCAGATGCTCAGCGTGGACCCCGCCAGTGTTCCGATAGGTGCTCGTGCGCAAGTAGCCGCATCCGAATCGACAGTGATTAATGTACGCATGGTTTACCTTCATGAAATCATGTTGCCTGCGTCGGAAAGTCAATCTCCAACAACTTAGATGACAACTATATAATAAGTGGATGGCTACCAGTAAAAAAACTGATACAGTCCTTTAGCGGAGTTGCAACGAATATGATGACTTGGATTTTGAAAACCGGTCATTAGTAGTATTCTGACGACTAACATGCCACTTCAAACAAAACTGTTTTGTAAATGAAGAGGTGTGCGTTTTTTCTTGACGCAACATACTACTCGTAAATTTGCTGAAAACCTCTCTACATTCCGTTATTATCAGGAAGTCTTGGCCCCACCTTTATCGTCAACCTAATGTTCTAACTCAACATTGAATGGTACGCAATTGTAATGTACTCGTCTGAAAATATAATTGGTCTTAGGGAGCTATTCAGCTGGGTCTCTCTTTTGTGATATTGATCAGGTCGCCTCACGTTTTAATTGTCACGATATTCAAGATACTGTAGTATGATTTCTAGACATAGCACGCTACTGTCAATGATGCCTCAGCAGTAGTATCTCGAATATCGTGCCAAATGAAACATGATGGGGTCTTTGTGCAGCTTATTCAAATGAAGAACAGTATAAACGAGAGACTCGGCTGCGATTCAGTTCAGTCCACATTAACATCAAACTGTTCTGCGAACGAAGAACGACACACTTTACGAGTGAACCTCACAGTCTTAGTACGTTTGTTTTCACATCAACAGAATCTGCATGGTGGTAACAGAGGTGCGCAACGCCCAATTGCGGTCTAAATTGACTGGCTCTCAGTCGGGTTCATAAGAAAGACTAAAACTTGTGAGTTTAGTGCATTCACTTGACGGAACTGGAGCCAGCATCTGATGAGGTGAGACCCACTGAAGTATCCTACTTTCTGGGTGCTTGTTTCAGTGATCGACTTTGAAATCCGGGTCCTGTACAACAATCAATAAAGCCAGGCCATCACAAGTCAGCGCTCCTTGGATGAAACTGATTTCCTCCGCACAACATACGCACACATCATACTTTACGGCTTTTGACTTACCTGTAAGAATCTCCATGTCATCATCCAGGATGACGCAGATCCATTACTGACATTCAGCAACAGGACAGCCAACTCAAAATGAGAGGAATAAAGCCCAAAATCAGTGATATCCGATAAACCTGTTCTTTTTTCTTAGCAACGGACTTTTGAGGGCTTTCGCTTCTCCCGAAGCTGTCAGATGCATATACCAGCACCAAACACCATTATCATAAGTTTTCCGTACTCTCAGATGAACCTGTTATCACTTTTGTTTGCGAAACGAACTGATCGACAATAATGGCTAGGACCCATGATCACGGGTATTCAAAGTGATGAGGGTAAAGCAATACAATGAATCCAATCTATCACCTCATCAAGTGCTGTCTGCTGCTTAGGCCTTGTAAGTGATCAACTTTCGATCCTAATCCCGAACTGATTGAGAGATTGTGGGTCCAGTAGACACAATCAATATCCAAACAAAATCCAGGACTCCAAAACGGAGTAAGTCGTCAGGGTATGACAAGACCGCAGTGTCATTTTCAAAGTGTAACCAAAACACCCATTGGTTTTTCCTTAGCTTCTTGTGGATCTTTTGACATTTTTCATTGGAAATCTGTTCAATGTATCAGTACGCCGGCCGAAAGTTTTGTGACATCAGTTTTTTTTTAATGATTTTCCGTCATTCCTTTCAAGGCGTGTTTCCGTAAGTTTTAGCTTTCCTGTCTAATGATGCCCACCACCAGACGGCCAAAATATCCTTCGTCTTGTGCCTTGGTTGTGGAGCTGTGACGAAAAGCGTTGACGGTTCCATGCTTTGTTACGGTGTAGATTGGGCTGCTCAATAGTCAGTTTTAACGTTGCCATTCAAACTTTAATGCCTATAGTAGAAAAAGCAAGAGGCACTCACCGAGTTCTCTCCAGTATTCTTATTTTCGAACGTGCGGTGAATAAGTCTTTTCCTACAAAATTTATCTATCCGTATTCATTTGATCGACTGTTACCATGCAAATCATCAGCTGAGTGCTTAGCGCTATTGTAGATGTGTTGAAAATGACAACTTTACCAGTAACAAAGGTGCACATGTACCAGGAAGTGCCAATTTTCTACTGCTCCACTATCAGCATTAGGGCTGATGCGAGTGTCGCCCACATTATGTATTCCGTCATTTCAGGTGAAACGAATTCACGAATACAAACGTCAGCTTCTCAACTGTTTGCATATAATCACTATGTACAACACACTCCGAAATCACCCAGGTGCTGATATCCATCCACGCACCATCATGATCGGTGGGAAAGCGGCTCCTGGGTACTACATGGCCAAGTTGATTATCAAGTTAATCAACAATGTAGCCAAGGTAGTGAATTCCAATCCTATCGTCAGCAAGAAGCTAAAGGTAAGTAGTTATTCGCTGAAGACGCATATATATATATATATATATATATATATATATGTAGTTCTGATTGGTTTGTCTACTGCGGCTGAACTGCTGAATGCCTGCGCAACTTATGTCGACATGACAACAGACANCGATTTTTAACTTAATTTATTTTCTATAAGCTCACAATCAATCATCCCACATTACATTATCATTATCATTTATTTTTGAAGAGCATGTTCACAAACATAAAAAGCGAATGCAAGCGACGAATGCGAAAGGATAACAGGAGAATATGGGAGAAAAGAGAGAAGCGTCTCATTCGAATTTATGCCAACAACAGTTCCAGTTAGCTGAGATGAATCCCAACGTATGTGAAAATTTTGATATGCAAACACGCGTCTAAAGACCGACAACCGAAGAAAGGACGAACAATGTTTAATGGTCTTCAAGGCGCGGTAGGCGCTAGCACAGTCAAGACTCGCACATCAGGCACAAAGTGTCCATCATACTGGGTCTGGTGTGAGATTAAATGGCAAAAAAGGAAACGCCATTTATCACATTTTAAATTTTGTGACAACCCCCAACAAAACCCTTTATACAATGATTACACAGTGGTGATATATTGTTTTGTCTTGACCGTTCCGCTATTTTTTCGTAACAGAAGAGGGAAACAGGTTGATGTTGATGTTCATTGCCGAATACGTCTTTCCTAATAAATGTATCGGCTGCAAAACCATTTAGTGTACGCCCAGCTACTTAATCAATTACCGGTCAACTGTTTTTAAGAAGTCGTAAGCTACGGCTTTTAGTCCATTTTCAAAATTGTCTGACCTTGCTAAATCCTTTTCTGTCAACGTCTCAGTTTTAGATTGGTCTCCTTGTGAACTTGCTGTCAGCCTAAACATATCAAGGTCAGAATATTTACGCGGGATTCATACAAGTTAACTCGGCCCAATCGCTATCCATCAGTTTCTGAGCTCAAAGTGATCGATCTTAAGTAGTTCGACAGCTTGCACTCAGTGTGGCCGAACCCGTCGTTACAAGACCACTGAGTCCAACTCTGTGAGTGCAGAAGCGTTCGACTCAATCCACTCGATGGAACTAGCCATCGGTCAACAGAGAACACACTTTTCCTTCCTCACATGCTTACATCCAATCTTTTAGTACACTGAATACTGACTCTGCGTTTCCGAAATTTCTTTCTGTGTGTCCACTGCCTTGTAACTGCAAAATTCCGTTGAGGATTGTCGGAAACGCGTGATTACTAAACTTTGTGATTTCATCCAAATAGGAGTTACCTATTTGGGCTTCGATTCACGTTCCATAGTTCTGGATCAGGTGGAATTCACAATGAGATTTCTTTTGATAATTCATTATTCTAGGTCATCTTCCTGGAAAACTACCGCGTTTCTTTGGCCGAAATCGTCATTCCAGCAGCTGATCTTTCTCAACAAATTTCGACCGCCGGAACAGAAGCCTCTGGTACAGGGAACATGAAATTTATGGTAGGTTTGCCTTTGCATCTGCAGCTTATTTACTTTCATCATGTGGAAAACCTCGAATTAATCAGATTTTATGTCGAGCAGGTGCAAGTTTTGCGCTTGTCTACAGGCAACAGTGCATTGGACCCAAGGAAACACGTCGTTCGATAGGAGCACGCGATAACTGATTACCGTGTGTGCTAGCAAATGCCGCATGCACCGATGCCCACCAAAGAGCTATTTCCACAAAACTGTTTGCATCCGATTCACAGCAGTAATTCTCGCGGTACCAAAAAACGATTGAAAGCTAGGGAAACATAATAGACGGAATAGAAAATATGCATCCGAACAAACGAAATGCTGTTGCACTTATCTGCAATAAGACCCTTCGCTTCCAATGGATTTGATGTTCCAGGTAAAATAGGATAGGGTGACTGTGATGTGCCCTTGAATAATGCACAATAGTGGTGAAAATTCATTGAGGTTAGCAACTTTTTCCATCTCGATCGGGAAAATTTCGTTTGGTCAAACCAGGTAAGAACGGAATTGGATCGAAAAATGTTTTAACTTAGAAGACTACTGTGTTCGATGCCTAATGCAATACTACGGGCTACGTCATACTATCTCCAAAAGCCAGTAATTTCTCTCAGTACCCCACCTGTGTGCTATGATCTGTGTACACGTAGATTAGGCGAAATTACTGAACAAACCAAATGAAACTGAACCCGGAAGAGCCTGTTGATGACTGGATGATAATTAAGTATAAATGTGAACGATAAAGTATTTTTTACACCTTTATTTCACAATATTTAACGGCGGAGATCAGTAACTGGGTTCAAAGGTAAATATGCGGAGTCTCCTGTCATGGTGTTCGAAATAGAAGTTCATGGTATCATCTTCCGAGAAATCCGTATCGTTTAGTTCGATCAATGACTGTTTGATCTAGGTTGTAGACAACACATTTTCTTCTCCGAAAAAGGTGACGACCAATTTCAAAACCTTGAAGTTCTTCATATAGTTCTAGCGGGACAATACTTGGTCGGGTTGTCCATTGTTTCGCGTTACGTCATTTGATTGGGAGCGTAAATATGATTTAAGTGCCTAAAGCTGTAAAATTTTGAACAACAGAGCATCATTTAGAACAGCAACAAGCGCAGTAGTACCTTTCGCATCCAGTGGTAAACTGTTTCATGTCTTCTTAGTTGAATGGTGCAATCACCATTGGAACAATGGATGGTGCGAATGTGGAGATGTGCGAGGAGGTTGGACAAGAAAATATGTTCATATTCGGCCTAAGAGTGAATGAAGTTAACAAACTAAGAAAGAGCGGGTACGAATCCGATGTTCGGTTGACGTTACACTGAACCGTTGAATTGGCTGTTTACAGTTCTGTTTCTGTACCAAGCCCTGTCAGTGTGTATACAGTTAGTTGACTGTCGCCTTTACAGGTATTATCCACAGAACTACATATATAAAATCCCGGAACTTAAAGAAGCCCTTGAACAGATTCGTGACGGCCACTTCTCTCCGGATCAACCAAATTTGTTCAAGGATATCTATAACTCAATCGCCTTCGACGACCGTTACCTTCTATGTGCTGACTTCGAGGACTATATGCGGGCACAGCGGGAAGTCAACGCCGTCTACAGGGTATGTTTCTTCCAAAAATCTCCCTGCTTCTCTCGCATCCATATTTTAATGCATTTTCTCACCAGCGATTGTTTGGAGCCCACTTGAATCTATTGTTCGGGTGTTGCACATCAGTGAGATCGCTCAAGTGGTTAGAGCGCGAACTTACTGACCGGAAGGTCCATGGTTCGAACCCGACCTCTGCCTCTCAACTTTTCCCGTCTAGGCTTGGGCAATCTGGCAGTGTCCCAGCCCTCGTGCTTCCTTCGTGTGGCATTGCAGCTAGGCGACGAAATTATGTTATGCTGAACTATTTCGACTTTTTTCGCGCATCAGCTGTTGGGTATCAATGTTGCTGTTTGAAGCCTCCAGAAATACGTCCAATCTAGGGGGACATGCACAGACATTCTTCAATACATCATATGTTCACTCAAGACGTGGGCGACTGTCCAACTTTGGAGGACGAATTTACTCTATACCTCGCAGCTCTTACAAGTGGGCTTCAACTTTATGATCGATACGATGAAATTTAGTTAGCTGATTGCATATTTCACAACCATACAACAAAATAGCCCATGCCGTCATCATCAGCTATAAGAACCGCGTACTTGTCGTACCGTGGTTGTACCTGACAGTTTCATTCACCGGTGGTTTGGGGAGGTGGGATAGGTAGCTGCGCATTGGAGGCGGGGACTGATAAACTTGTGCATAAATCTGTCAGTGGACTTCTAAGTTGGGGGATTGGAAACAAGCTCTGCACTGAAGGCAGTAGCATGGATGCATGGGCGCCACTGAGGGTGCGACTGGGCCATGTCTGACAATGTCTCTAACCAGTGATGAGCCCCATCTCGGGGTCCGTAACCTGATATATACTTCCTTTGAGGTTCACAGGTGTACCGCCGTATGTGTTTCAAATGAGCAAGCATGAGACAAGTCTTACAGATTTGTGCATTGACCTCATCTGTCACACTAGAGTAGGAATAATACAATGACAATGTCTCTAACCAGTGATGAGCCCCATCTCGGGGTCCGTAACCTGATATATACTTCCTTTGAGGTTCACAGGTGTACCGCCGTATGTGTTTCAAATGAGCAAGCATGAGACAAGTCTTACAGATTTGTGCATTGACCTCATCTGTCACACTAGAGTAGGAAATAATACAACTTGGAAGACGCGTAAAACGCTTCACAAGTTCGAGTGCCACTCCTTAGGTTGAAAGCGGTGTATTCAGTGACACCATGACCTGGTGCTCTCTGCGTGTAGAATGCCTGTCAAAGGACGGCATGACTTTGCTCATTTCATCCAAAAACACCTGCAACTTCTCCTGTCCGAAGACGAGAACGATATTGTCTGCCTATTTCAGACTGACTTGGAGTCAACATGATCCTTCTGTGCGTACCACATTCAAAATGGCTCCCTTTTTTCGAAAATAAATAAATAAAAACCACCATTTTCCCTAGCTGTATAGAACAGGTTCCTTTTCCAGATGGAGATAAATAGGCCCATCAAACGCCGCTGGGGACTTCATATCCATCCTTGTGCAATACCCGTAAGAGGCCATCCATTTCGGAAAAAACTGTGCATGCCTTCACCTCCAAGGCTTGGTTTTGTATTCCGCTTTCTCGTTTGCCGATGCTCGAAGCTGTAATAGCTGGAGCCAATATGCCTATGGCACCCGGTTTATAGCTGATAAATTAGTTGATTTATTGAAGAGGTCATCCGGACCAAGAGTTCGACGTCGCATGAGAGAACATATGCAGTACCTTTGAGGTCGTAGATAGTTCCAGGTCCATCGTCCATGACCCTAGTGCAGTTAGTCCAGTTGTCGGATTGTCCTTTTTTGTTGAGGATAGTAGCACTAGTTCGATCCTCGATCGTCTCGCTCAAGGACAGTTTCCGGGGGCCGGTCGAGGGAATCCATTGAGATATTCCTCAGGCTTTCCCTGACTACTGCGCTTCTTCCACTTGCTTAGCCCTCTCTGTCCGCCAAATTTTACGGTCGGCGTGCATGCTGAGTTCCACTTAATGTCCTATATGTCCCCGAGATTCAAGTAACGCGGCTGTTCCGTCTGATATTCAGTGCTTAAGTGGGCCTGGTAGCGTCGCGCCACTGGCAATATGTTAGGATGTGACGATCTTTTTCCAGCACAAGTTTAAGTTCGACCGTGAGACTGTAGAAAGGGAGTTACAAGACTACTTTGATCAGTTCGCTTAACTTCGGGACTTCTAGTCAGCCAATTGTCAAGCTAGTTGTCCGCCACTTACGCGCTCCCTGAAAACGAAGAGGCAAACAACTGTGAATGAGTGCTTTGTCAAAAACGAGCAACAGTCCCTTAGTAATCAATGCCATCGACAACTGATGGTAATCTGAGCGAGTTTGCGTTTTCTGTTATCCGCACCCAGCTGATGCAGTCACTTGACATCGTCCATACGTGCTTCGTTCGAGTCAAGTGAACCACTCCACCGTCTCAAGTTCGTTAACTCTGCCCAATTGTAAATTCAGATCTCCGGCAACCACAACGATATGTGAGATTTTCACCTTCCATAGAACGTCCCTCAAGGCGCAATAGAGGTGGCTTTTTATGATGCGAGAGCTAGGGCCGGTCAAAGCATAGGGAGACATGATAAACATGCAACGACCAGTTTTCCGTTTGTGAGACGGGCATTGCCAGAAGAACCGCACAGAACTGACGTTCAGCAGCCGTTCAAGCTAGGATTCTCCCGACTGGGACAACGCTGATCCCTGCATATTCTGCTGCAGTGGCCTCTGGATTGCCACAGGTGTGCAACCGAAAGCCAGCGGAGTGATGGGACAGTTAGCTCAATCACTGTGTTTGCACGTTAAATTCTTACCTCTGATAGACAGCCCATATCAATGTAAGCCCAGTCCTGTGTGAAAAAGCAGCCTGTTACCCTCAAAGTGGTACCGTTACAAGTAGCCAGATAGAACGAACATAGAGCCTTAGTGGTTTTGAGCTGTCTGAGGATGTCAGCACCGGCTGATATCGTGGCCAAAACCAATGAGGGATGCACGGGCTCATCACAGCACCGGCTGATATCGTGGCCAAAACCAGTGAGGGATGTGGAAACCGATGAGTCTCCCGGAAAAGCAATGTTGATGGGATGCGGAGAGCAAGAAGGTAAATTATGTGAAAGAAAACCGAGGGAGACTTCGTCAGTAGTCTGTTTTCGTTAAACCACCCTGCTGTGTGTTGTCAGTAAGTCGACGCGACAACCGATGTGACAGGATAGCACTGTTAGTTGAATGTGCGCGAATTGGAGTAATACCTGGACACCGAATTCGAATGTGCAGGGCGGTTAGAATCTTTACCTCAAAAGTCTGATCACAAAGTAGAGGCATTTTGCCGGAAATACAAGTACAATAGCATCTTTAAAGAACAAGCCACCACACATGTTCTAACCCAAGACCTGGACGACGAGCAGACTGTTAGTCAGATCACTAACCTGGTATGAGACTGTCACACGGACACCCACCAGTACAGCTCAATAAGTCACGGAGGCACACAAACCGTCATACCAATGCAGCGTCCAGTCTCTTCGTCAGAGAACCACCGGTACTATATGCGAGTGCACATTTGTGATTTCGTGAAGTTATTTTAAATTTTGTGGAGAACACTGACTTAGAGATCAATTCTGATCAATGAATGAAATGTGACTGTATCACTATCACATGATCGCATCTATTTTTCTACTTACCTGCACCCATGAAAATACCTTACCCTTCGGGAAACCTAGGACAAAATGCGGTGGGCCAAAATGAGTGTGCTTAACATTATGAGCAGCGGCAAGTTTTCATCAGATCGCGCAATTGCGGAATATGCTTACGACATATGGGGAGTGAAACCAGAGCGCCACATCGCTCTGCCACCAAGCATCCCCAGAACGTCTGAACACATGCCACCTGGACACAAGCGGACGTCGATGCGGCGCAAATCTTTGGGAGCAGAACCGAGTGGAAGACCAACGACCGAGTGAGTTCGCTCGACTCTCTACCTTCCTGCTTTCTTGTATCACTGATGCAAAAAAGACTGGAGTTGGTCGAACAGGTGTACAAACCGTGTAATCCAGTAACCGACTTAGAATTTGAGGTTCCACCACCCTTCCGTGATTATTCTTCAAAGATTGTCCATAATCTCTCTGTAGTGTAGAATTAAACCCTCTTGATCTAGACTAGACCAATGCCTCTTACCAAAATAGCCAAAGTTGGTTGCTTCGTTTTCTGGCAATTTATAAAGTTTCTTGACTTTATTTCGATTATTTTACTCTGGTTCGTCTTGTTAGATTGTTAAAAATTTGAACGCGTGAATATACGCATTCATTGCTGCCTAAGTGTTGCAATTTCGATCGGATCGGTTTACGTCATCCTCACAGTCATGATACTTTATTGTGCCGCACAACTATCTACTGCGAGTTAAACCAATCAGTTCGTACTAACTTACGGTAGCGTTATTACTGGCAAACAATTCCCAGGACTTTTGTGGCTCTTCATGAATTTCATCACCAATATTATTGTCCAGCACCAAAAGTAGCTACAGGAAACAACGGGAAAATCTACGGTGATATCGGTTGGAAAGATCAGTAATACGAATACACTTCGACATGCCTCACGGACCGTATATTTTCTGAGTGTTATGGTGGCAATTTTCCTCCAGTGAGGTGAACAAAGTGCATGACACATATGACTACGTCACCAGCGTCGTCATCGTCAGGACTGAGAGCCGCATAACTGCTCATTTATTTGTATATAGCCCCGTGTGTACATGCAACCGACGCGCAACTATGTGTTCATTTGGGTCAGATAAACATGCTCCACTCACCTAATTTTGGAATAAATGAAACGTCCAACGAATACACTTATGTGCATACCAATTTGGTTTGGAAGGATGGTGTCTTAGTTAGAACCCAGCTGAATCTCTGGCTAGGCAAAACATAAGGCTGACAAAAAATCTGAGACTGCGCTCACCCGATGAGCCCCAAGAAGGATGAAAACGGTCGTGGGCTGTCAAAGAGTTTTCAGCAACCGTATGAGTAGTGTATTATGTCTACACACAAGAGGTTTGGTGTACTGTGTCAACTATCCAAAATCAGTTGAGGAAATTCGTAGTTTATAACTGTGTTACACCAATAATAAATCCTTTAGTTTCTTTGCGCCAACTTGCGAAATTTTTTTCTTTTCAGGAGCTTTTTCGAATACAATTACGACTGATTCGAACAAACGCTCTGGATTCATTTGGTATCCGCTTTTTCTTTTCTGACTCGTTCGTTGACTTTGGTTCGCAACTCGGTTCACACTTCGAAATAAACTATTTATTTTATCCTTGGTGGTGGATTAATTTCAAAGTGACAGCTTTCCTTTGTGTTCCAATGGGTTAGTTCCTTTAGAATACATTGATCTTTGGATAAACTTCTCTTTATAACGGATCCAACCGGTAGTGACTTGCTTTAGAGGAAAGGTTTTCTGACAAATAACAATGGTTCTAGTAAATCCCCCTAGTCCCAATCGCACGTTCTGCGCTCAACACCATCCGGGATTCTCAAGCTAGATACGGACCGTGAATCGCCTTGATAAGTCAAACTTCATCGGCTTCTTGAGCAACTGAACTAAGCTGGTTATTCGTACCATCCGATAGGCATGACTTTGCATACGTAATAATAGTAAAACGGGCTGAAAAAGTTGGCACTGGAACGGAATGGACCAGGACTTGAAATCATCAAGTGACTGGATGGGATCGACGGCGAACGGTCATTTGTCGCCACACAACGCTGGTTACACAAACGCACAAAAATAGTTAGATTGGATAATTCAGTGATGCGGAAACGGAACGGAACATCAATCGGATGAGTTGGTCTATAATGCTGGTAGCACAGTGATTTCACAGTCGTATCGACGGGAGATATGTCATACGTTACTCATTATCTTGGGGTCGCTCACTGCCTCACAGATCTTCCGAGAGCTAACAGTACCGTGTGAGAAGGACCATGTGTGTGTGTTACGCTTGCTGTGTTTGTGGTGCCAAGAAGGACCATGTGTGTGTGTTACGCTTGCTGTCGTCTGTGCAAGTGCCACTGCCCAAACCAATAAAACCTCATGTAAGTCGCCACGAGTTGCTTGTTTAGGTTACAGACTTGTTTCAGTTTTTCACGCTTACTTTATCTTTATCATGTGTGCTAATGTGTCGAACTGTGCCATATTTTGTTTCATTTCTTTCTTCTCTACTATATTTCACATGCGCTCCCCCCTTAACGCTGTGAAAACTATTGAGTATTTAACTTAAACCGGTTCCAGAAGTGGCTTTCTCCAACCACCGCTGTGGAGAACAAACTGATTTTTGACTACCACTGGATGTCCATATGTGTGTCTCAGGTGCAGCACAAGACTGGTGCGGGTCACCCTGCGCGTACATTGTGGGTTCCAACTGTTTATTCGTCTCTATATTGGTTGACAATTCTGGCCCACCCATTCGGATAGACTGTTCGCTCGACTATATTTCCAGCAGGTATTCAGCTGCTTGCAAATGCGACTCACCGTTATCCACACGTAGCACTAACTATTCAATGCAAGTGATCATCGGCGACTTTTGATGCGGCAAACTAATCCGGAAGCGAATGCCAATGTATGTAACAGCCAAAAATGTCAAAAGTGGGTGCGAATTCTCGAAAATCCTTATTACTAAACCGCATAAACTACGATGGTTTCGTGATGAGGGAACTTTTGCGCCTAAATAATATACTGGTTGCATTCGGAAAGCAAATGAGTGATCGTGTGAATAAATTTAATGCAGCCCAGATCATCCTTACGAGAAGAAGCCTGTGTGGCTGTTGCACGAAACAACTCGTCTTTTTCAAATGGTGATTTGCTTGAGTTAGGAATTAAAACTACGATGTACTGGAAAACGGTCACAAGGAATAGAACAGTAAGCCAAAGCTGCATGGCCAGAGAATAATTTCGTACTGATAAGGTGATTTATGCAGTACTGAATATGGCTATTCTTTTACAAACAAAATATCCACGGAAACGGCCAATCTGGTTCACTCGTGACAGGCTTTGATTTTTTTACTCGAGTAAGTCGGAAGGGAATTATCGTCTCCTGCTTTCGTTAACGAACTGTACTTATGATTAATTAGTTACCTCTAATAACTTCATTCAAATTGTCTCAACCCTTGTTGTGATTTGCCAACACGGACTGAGTGCAAATCCTCAAAAATCACTGATGGCCCCTCGGTATTGCAATGCGTTATTTTTCCTTCTCTTCATCCCCAAACAACGTCCTTTACTTTCACGGTATTGTGACTTTGGGCCTGCGGTATATCGCGTCGATGAAGTCCTTCAAAGCTTTACCACGAGACTGTTTCAGCGCAAAGCCGGACTATCAATGGTCGGTATAAACACCTATGGTCCCTATAGGCATGGAGGAACAGGATTAGAAAAAATGGAGGAGATTCAAAGTCCTTACGGTTTAGTTCGAATTAGGTGATAATGGGCGTTTGGACAATAAAGTCGCGAGAACTAGAAATCTGCTGCACATTTCACCTCTTTGATTAAGATTTCTGTGATGCGTGATGACTCCTGTAGAGGAAATTCAGTAGTAGTGGCTATCTAGTTTCCTTTGAAAGGGAACAACTGTTCAAACGCTCATGTTTGAGAGTGCTATGGAAAGGCTAGAATTTGAAAAAAGTGGCTGCTTCTAGGGGCGAGACGGCCCACTGATTACTGACCGGAAGGTCAGTGGTTCGAACCCGACCCCTGCCTATCGACTTCCCCTGTCTAGGCTCGGGCAACCTGGCTGTATCCCAGCGCTCATGCTTCACTGGGTGGCATGGCAGCTAGGCATCGAAAGGGTGTTACAGGTGAACGGTTTTCTCGTGAAAAAGACGGATAACTTAACTACCACCTCCGAATAGAAATGCGCCGCTCATTTTAACTTCGGTCCACCGTTGGAAAGCCTACAAAACTAATGTCCGCATTATCGACTTTTGCACACATCTAACGCGTCCCACCAAGATGCGAAACTTACATGAAGTACATTCATACCGAAACGAAGCGACAGTCATTTAGTTCTAACGGTGCATTTTGGGTTACGTTTCTTGTGGACTTCAAAGGACTGAGTCATCATCATCATCATTGTCAGCTGTAATCACCGCGTAATTGTGGCACAGTGGTTGTTGCCGCCTCAATTTCGTTCAATTATATCAGGTGGGGTAGGTAGCTGCGCATTGCAGGCGGGAGCTGATAAATTGGTGCATAAATCCAGCACTGTCAGTGGACTGTCAAGTGAAGGGGGGTTGGAAAAGGAGCTATGCATTGAAGGCAACAGCTTGGATGCACGAGCGCCATTGAGGGCGTGACTTGGCCATATCTGACAATGTCTCTAGCCGTTGATGTGGCCTGTCTCGTGGTCCCCATCCAGGAAGACGGCAATGACCACCGCAGCTGAGTTAGCTGGCAATGGCTTGTATACTTTGCTGTCAAGTCATTGTTTGACCGCCTCTGGCTCTCTTCCACCCTTCACTTGGTTGTGCGAAAAGCGCCCTTCGAGAAGGGAACTAGAAGGATTTCTTCATTCAGTCCTTTCATCCACATTTCAGGACATAAAACCGTATACCCGAATAGTTCTGGGTAAAAAGTTGAAGTGTGGTGTTCAATTCCGAATCCGCCCTTGTCACTTAGGTGCGACTGTGCTACCCGTGACTTCTAAAATACTTGTTTTATTGCTTGGAACTCGACCGCGTAGACAGTCACGTTAAGTATCTGTCGGAGGATCCGAAATAGGTGCTGGTGGTCTGCGCATTTGTGGTATCTAAGTGAGCAGCTTTGCGTGTTCCTACTCTCGATCAATGACGAACCCACCTACCTCACGTCCGTAATTTGATGTACATTCGATTCTAGTGGGCGGGATTCTGACTCAGTTCCACCAGCACCTCACACTGGGGCTACACTTTCACAGGAGCACGAGAGAAAGTTTCAGTAGAGAGTGAAAAGAGCGTAAATAGAAAAGTGAAGCTCTTTGTCCCTAAAAACTATCAATAATAGGGTGCCTATACCTTCGGACAGTATTAAAATAAACACATCCAAGCACCATGGCAAATTAAGTGCTATCAGCGGAATTGCAAACCTTAATCAACAAACGTCCAGTGTACAAAGACAGGTGACCTTGAGTTAGGCATTCCGGCTACGAAATAGTAGCATGTGCATCACTTGGTTGCGTGCCATGTCCTGCAGGGTTGCCAGCCACGTGCAAAGAGACCTTCCGGGTCCTGAATAGGAAGAAGTAAAGATCCCAAACCTCTCGTTTTGAATGTAGTAGCCTTCATTCCACGTTGCCATGTCATGGCCTGTACCCCGCGAACCTTTCGTCAACAATCGTTTGGGACAGGAAACGGTCATTTCTTGGGTAGACGGTGATCGGGTATACGTAAGACATGCCCAAGCGAACCAATATTATAAGTTGTCTGCTTCTCTGTCGATTCGGATTCGTTACCAGGTATGGGTTCGTTGTGTCATCGCTCCAGCCAGCTAGCGTATGCTATACTACCGACACACCGGTTATCAAAAGTTCAAAGGCGCCTAAAGTGGAGGCAGAAGACTGTGGAATCGATAATGGTGGCCATTTTAAAAAAGATACTCGCAGTGAATGTGGCAACTACAACGGTGTTAGTTTGACTCCCGTTGTAACACGGCTTCTGCCGTCACCGAGTCTTCGGTGTCATACGGTAGCATGCGAATCCTTGACCCATGAGCACCAACCAAATGGGTAGAGGCTGTGCCGAAATCTCCACACTGGTAGGTATTAGAACAACACCACGTGTACAGACGGCTCATGATCTTGGTATCCCCTAACTTCAAGGGTACGTTCGGTTCTGTCGATCGGTCATGCTGTTGGCACAACACCACGTGTACAGACGGCTCATGATCTTGGTATCCCCTAACTTCAAGGGTACGTTCGGTTCTGTCGATCGGTCAGTGCTGTTAGCCACATTTGCTCGTAGAATGTACAGCAGCGAAGCATCAGTTTTGAACACTGACGTTATGCTGTCGATGGTGACGATGACGGTGATGTTAAACAGGGTACGTCCCATAAGTTTGTGAACATAATCCAGTCAATAAGTTCACCTAATTCCCTACAAAAGTAGTGCCCGAAAAGGATGTCCATTCTATCCAATCTTGTTCATATTCGTCACTGATGAAGTACTGAGTCGAACACTGAGGGTCTTCGAAACTTTGGTGTTCATATCGCTACTGGTAAGAACCTCATCGATCTGGAGTACGCAGACGACATCACCCTCGTCTTTCAAGACCGAGACGAAGCACAAGCGCTGCTGAATAGACTGACCAACGTCATACCATCTTTCGATATATTCCTTGCACCATCAAAGTGCAGGACGTGCAGTTTCTGAACATAGCCCTTACAATTCAAGAACCGCTGCAGGCTGTGGAGAATTTTACACACCCCGGTAGTTATATTAGCTCTGACGAAGTCAGTGCACGAACCTCAAAGGCCCGAATCACGCTTGCCAATTCGCATTACTTGTGGCGGCAAAAAGACACCTCATTGGGTCTCGGTGGTCACGTATACCAGGCAACATTAAGGCCTGGATAGTTACCAAAGATGGTCTACGCAGACAGATGACGTGAGGCGTCTTCAGGTTTTTGACCACCGATGCCTCAGAAGGGTTCCTGGCGTTAGATGACGTCAACGATTTCGTAACGAGGTCATTAGAAAACGGGTATTTGGTTGTGCATCAGCTGCTTCGGTCGTGGAAAACAGCCAACACCATGGACTCAGATGGTTCGACCATGTGCCACGCACGCCGAAACACTTTCTCCCGGGACGAGTGTTGTTCTCCGTGATTACTTCATAATGACGGAACGCACGAGGTGGACAACATATATGATTTGGCAGAAGAATGTGACCAACAAACTCAGTTGCGCTGATTATTGCCGTCTTCCTGGGTGGAGAGCCCCGAGACGGGTCACACAGTCAGACATGGCGCGGTCGCTCCCCAGTGGTGATCGTGCATCCAAGCTATTGCCTTGCCTATGCATAGCTCCATTCCCAATCCCCCCACAACAGTCCACTGACAGTGCTGTATTTACATACCTCTAATGCGCAGCTACCTAACCCGCCTTCCCAAATCATTGGTGAGCGAAACTGTGGCAGCTACAACCACTGTACGGTTTTGGTACCTTTCCCTAACTTACGACTCGCAACAGTTTTCTACAGCTAAATTGGTATCTCTTTCCTCAGGTTTACCGGGAAAACTTTAAAACAATGACGTGATTTGAATCAACCTACATATTTCACAATAAGCAATTAAGGACAGAACCGCACCGTCGGTATCTGAAGGCGGTGTGATCAGTTTGACTCTGGTGCTGCTCAGCGGTGGAGGGACACCAAGTAGTGCAATGATACCCATCGTGAATCCAATATTGCTGACAATTCGTTCACAATCATCATGGTGCTTAACGTTCAAACTCAACGCGCCACCAAGGCGCGCATCTGGTGAACCGAGGCTATTATAACTACGTTCGGGGCTATTTGTGGTGCATAAGGGGCTGGTTAGTTCTCGATACAATGTGTCTTTCGATGAGTCACAGCTGCAGTCCGTTGGTGAACAAAAGCGCACAAAAAGTAAACGGCGCTCAGTATTTCCACCAGTGCTAGTTTTGTTGAAGCAGAAAATCAGACAGCACATATTCGACTAACTACAGGTATCCAGTCAAGCAAGGGAGCCCCAGTTAACCAATTTAGAGCTATACCAACATTGGTGCAACCCAATGCAGTAGCTGAAGGACCACTCAAAGTTTGGCAACGAAGCATCAGTGTTGAACACTGGCGGTGTGCTGTCGATGATGATGACGTAGCCGGGAGTTTCTATATAAAGAGGGGAGCGTGAACTCATCAATTGTATTCGAGTTTCAGAGATGCCACAGACTTCAACCGACAGAGCATCCAGAGTACGCCCAAGAGTGAGTTGAGTGAACTGCCTAAGAGTTCTCACATTAAAGATTACAATATAAACAAGAGAGAGCTGAATATTAGAGGCGGGGCGGTAGATGTAAGCAGTGTTGCGCAGCTTGTCAATTTCATAGATGCCTGATTGAAATGCCTACATTTGGAATCTACATAAGTGACTGTCAAATGGGACAGGACGTGAGTTAACAGATAGCTATCAATAAAGATGGGAATCCTATCTGCTCTGCTGTATGCAGCGAATAAGGTGACCCGGCTGATGACAGCAGACAATCGTCGATGTGGCATAAAGTAGTTTCAGTTGTAGAGGTTATGGCTGCATGTCGGCTGAGAGACATCCAGGGCGTCCTTACCTAAATAGGAGGACGATAACGGTCCTCAACCAAAGGCTCTAAAGGCTGATCGCAAGGTGGCAGTTTTTGGCTTGAGACTACTAGAGTAGATTCAATTTTAAGGAACACACAATTGTTCTATCCTGGAGGACCAGGAGACTGGGTTTATTATACCTCTGTTGATTGACCAACCCGGTGAGAAAAATTCTGTGAACGCTGCAACACCATCCGCCATTGCAACTCAGCGGGTTATTGAGACAGACAAACCGTCGAAGCACGACAAGGTCCAGTATCTTCGCGACTGACTCACCCCAATATTCTTGTGTCCAACTCGCACTGGTGAAAGAAACCTTGATAAGAAATAAAGTCTACAAATTGGCAAAAGAGCTTGATTGTGAGAAGCGTGAGTCAGACAGGAAAAAATCAGAGGCATGTACAACAAAACGATATATTTACACGTATGGTAAAAAGGACAATACACAAAACCACTTCCCAATTTAAAAAAATCGGTGCAAACAATCAAACAAAAAGGTCAGCAAGAAGTAAGGAGAAAAACAGGACACCGCCGAATTCCACTGCATTCATCAATCGTCATAATTGTCATCGTCTTCAACAGTGACCGTTCCCAAAATACGTTCCGAACCGGTCAGTTTGGGAATGGTTTGTGCATCTCCAGCGGGATGAAGAGAGCTATACGCTAAGAAGTTGGTACACATGCCTTTGGTAGGATTGTCAGCCGATGGCCCAACTATGGGACCTTGTAATGCTGCTGCATCCGCAGCCGCCAGTTCGGATGCAAGGAGCAAATCGCCCCGATCAAGCTGTTCGCCAACAAAATCAGCTCGCGCCTACAAAGGAGGTAGAAATCACACCGAATGCATTCATGTAGATAAAAAACCAAAGGAATATAAATAACGATCTGGTTTTCATCATGAAAAGTTCAGTCAACATATGTTGGAGGGGGGGCTAGATCGAAGTGCGCAACTGGTTCCCTCATGAATCGTCACCGGGGTGTGCGACCTGGTTGGCAAACATTAATCCATCATGCTCAGTTAGAAGAAAAATGAGTATCAAACGAAATTTGTTTCACGATTCAAAGCCCATTGTACGCAGCGCTGACGAATGTCAACAAGGTGAACAAGGTTATATTCAAGGTGGATTATCCACTACCATGGGATCATCAACATTAACATGAGAAAAGCTGGCAACACGCAACTGTGACGCGGCCGACTTTAACCATACGTGACTGGGACCCCGAACACTTATTTGAGGAAATGCGGGAACACATCCTGAACGACAGGCGCGATTCGATTCAGGGAGACTGACAACTGCAATAGCAAATCAAATTCGCTTTGAATACAGATGCGTTGAGTGAAATCCGATGTACTAATCAATTAACACTGAACGTTCGAGAGTTATCTAGAAAAAATTGACAACCCACGGCGCATCCAAAGGGAAACATATGGGTTTAGTGTGAGCTTCAAACTGTGCTGCTCCGCGCGGGAAAATGAGCAATACTTCCAAGACATTTGAAAATCTAATGATATGACATGTTCTCTCGATACTAGAAGATTGGGTTACACAGACATTGCATTTAAAGGACAAAGTCCACAAGTCTTGTTTCAAAGAGTCGAATTGAGGCACCCGCGCTCCTATAAACTGAAGCCCTGCACTTGTGGTACACTGTATCGGGATAAGGCGATGGAGAATTGGGATGGCAGGTTTCTCTGGTACAATATTTTCCCCTCAGAGACAGAAAGTCGCTCTGCAGTGCAGGGAATTCATCTTATAATGGGTGTTGGTCAGATGGCTGTTGATCTGTTCGCCAGGCTTGATAATTAACTTGCGCACGTTTCGTCACCAAGCGAGGAGATATAAATGTGCGATTAGGCGGGCGGTACAGGTTAATTGCCAAGCTCGGTGAACAAACCAACAGGTACCTAATCAACAAGTCATAAACGCACCAGAGCAACCAAAATTTCGACTCAATACCAGGGGACTTCTACCTAGCTCCTTCGTTTCCAAGCCGGATGGTGAATTTTTACAAATAATTGAGAGATCTACTAGCTCTTGTTATCGTGAAATCGTATGCACGGTAAATAAAAGACAGTCATTTAGTTATCCACTTGTCGTTTGGCGACTGGTTCCCCTAATAACATAGCTTGTGTTGATGGATGCGGTTCAGGTAAACGGAACACGTTAAAATCTACGGCTGTGTTAAGAGGACTACCTCCAAACGAACAAATCCATTTAATAGAGGAGAATGCCGGTAGCTCAGGTAGCGTATATGGTCGTTGGCTTGTTCGCTGAGCTGGGCAATTTGGTTGCAAACGTTTCATCACCAATCGAGGTGACATCATCAGTGCGTAGTTGTGCGTAGCGGTGGGTTAGTGGTTGTGCGGTCAAAGGTCATCCCCGGCTACCAGCACGTATATCAACACACACGTAACACTACTGAACGCACAACCACTAACCCACCGCTACGCACAACTACGCACTGATGATGTCACCTCGATTGGTGATGAAACGTTTGCAACCAAATTGCCCAGCTCAGCGAACAAGCCAACGACCAAATCCATTTAATTAACGATTTGTGTTGGTTTTACATTCCAACCTCTCACTGACATCCTATTGGACTGTTAGCTCTTTTTATATTCTGGATCAGTTGAATTCCATACCACGAAACGATCCACTTGTTTGCAGTATAACTTTCTCGAAGTTGATTGTCTTCTCAATTCCGGTGATCTAACGTGTCTGATTGATACATCATCAAAGAGGATATAACGGGCTGTTCGCCCGCCCTTTACATCCAAACCATGAAATTTAGGCACATTTGGCTATAATAACTCGGTAAAGAAACAGCGTTATGAAAAGCGCGTCCCACTTCAGAGTGAAACTTGCCACTAATACGTACTCATCATCGACAGCATAACATCAGTGTTCAACACTGATGCTTCGCTGCTGTACAACCATAAGTTATCTGAAAGTTTTATCGGGGAGAAGGAGGAAGTGATCTAGTGCAAGCCTGCCAAAATTAATCAGTACTGGGTTGGCACAGGTGGGTTGGTTGAGTAGGGCGAAATAGCTCAGTGGTTAGCGCGCGAATTTACTGACCTGAAGGTCCGTGGTTCGAACCCGAATTCCCCCTCTCGACTTCCCCTGTCTAGGCTTGGGCAATCTGACAGTATCCAAGCCCTCGTGCTTCCTTCTGGTGGTATGGCAGTTTGGTACCGAAAAAGTGCTACAGCTGAACGACTGGCGCTAGCTACGATACAGTGAACTTCCCTTCATGACATACTCCTGATGGTAGAAATTTCTGTGAAATTTTGTGACCTTAACGGCAAATCTAAGGCTTTGGAAGACCGATTCTCTGTACCTCATGATCTGAAATCTACAAGTGCCGTCACTACTGTATCAATTAGTGGGCTGGCCTGTCAAGTTCAGCAACTGACTTCGTGAAGAACGTCTCGTAATACATTGAACATTAATGGTAACACGCTCAACGTGCATGCCGAATGCCCAGGGTTCAAGTCATAGTAAGGTCAAAGAAATTCAATGCAGATAGACTCTAATAAGAGCAGACCCGAGTGCAGTTATCTCACTCTACTGGTCTACATCCCTATCATAACTCTTTGTATAACTACAGTTTTGAATGCAATCACATCCCTCCAAAACTAGGCATCATCATAATCCATGAGGCCAATTTTAAAATGTCACATTCTGGGTGCTACCTACAGAGTCGGTAGTCAATGTATTTTGGCAAAAGGCGCCATCTATGGGTTGGGACAGGGAGTGCTGACCTTATGTTATCTCTGTATCGATTTGCCTTTTGTCATATTTTGGGGTGACCAACGGGAGGTACCCACAAAAGAGGTCTCTTCTGAGAGTATGATAGCAGCTGGAAGATTCAATAGGCTAAGAAAAAGTGGTTTCTTACAAGATTTGTTTGAAATGAGTGACTTGCACCACAAGGGGCAGCGCTACCATGAAGGCTACTTGTAACCGTAAAGTCTACACATAATAAATGTCTGACAAGTGAGGGTATTAATGCGCATGCTGTAGAGTATTGTATTGTCCAGCTGCAACACGCTTTCTGTGTCAAGCTGTTATGCAATCCGAAGAGGGTTGACATGCCTCCATGTTGGCCAAACCGACGGAGACAACCTAGATACCGAGGTTGAGTTTGAATCACAATGCTTCCGGTTGGTAAATTTGCGCCCTAACCACTTAGATATCCTGGGCAATGTTCTAGCTTCGGGTTCGCTTGTGGCGGTCTCCACCACAACGGGTCTGCTGGCGCTATTTTATACGTTAAGGTGAACAGTTTCGGAGGCACCTCAGGAGAGCCCACTAGTCAAAAAAGAGATTCTCCGTCTGACCAACTAAGCGTATTTCAATATTAAACTTCCTCCCGAAAGAGATCATTATGGTTCCCTTGAGTTGCTTCCTCCAGGGAAGACTACTACATACACGGCAAACTTAACCACAGATAAACGGGCTGCCACCCAAATATTGTGCTGCCATACATAAGGGTGATTATTTATTTGACCAAGTGGGTGACGTTTTGTGTCATGGAGAACCAGCCTCCGAAAATGGGCTTGAAACGAATATCGAGGGAGCCCTAAGCTTTCGCATGTAAATCACGAGGTGCTATATCCTAAAAAAAAGTCGAATGGGTTGTATATATGCGTGCTATATCCTAAAAAAAAGTCGAATGGGTTGGTATATATGCAGCTGTCAACGTGGAACCTTCCCTAGAAAGATCACCATCAGGAAGACCACCCGAAATGAACAACTTTCAGTTGGACTCATAAGGTTGATTTCAACAATAAAGTCATGTCCAGAACAGACAAATTCACAGAAGTGACCGCCTTGCGTAGACTTTTTGAAGTGGCCTCAACAGAAAACAAAAGTACAAGGGGAAAACCCTCAAAGATATTGGTGCTGGTTGACTTTTTCAAGTGATCATTACAGCGACAGGTGTGATGGAGTTGTTTCTTAAGACCGCCAGCAGAGACTTACGAAAGGTGAGCTCTACTCTACCAAGGGCTTAACCTAATTGGCGTAAAAATACATGAAGTTTCAATGGACGAGTTTCGCATTCCGGTATTTACCTGTCCATGGTGTCCAAGATGTTAGGATGTCAAACCAGATCTAATGGGGCAGGAATGAGGTTAATTCAATTGAAGGGTCTATCTTTAAGAGAGAGGATTATTGGGGAGGACCATCGAACAGTCGTACTCATTGCCTCAAACTCAAAAAAAAAACACCATACAGCCTAGTTCTACATGATTAGGAGGAGTAACCGATTGGAGCTAAAACCTGAGGCCTGGCTCTAACCGAATGAAGCTAAATACTCATGCCTGGCATTCCCCTCCAGGCAACTCCAAGAATTAACAAGCGTCTTGATGACATGACCTTTATCCAACAGGATGGTTCAATTAAGAAGGTTTCACTTTATGACGGGCAGCTGTACGATATGGGACAGTTATAGTGCATGTGATTATGACCAATTATGATAAAAACTTCAAAAGTCGATAAAAAAGGTTGACATTAGCAGAATGAAGTTATGTGGGCAGTAGGAGACTAAGCTGGGTCGAAAAGTTCAACACAAAAAGGAACAAACCTGTTCAAATATTTCCTGTTGCTCTCGTGCCAAGCGCTCCAGTTCCTCGCTATCCTGGTGTTTAAACCGATAGCTGGCGCTTAACATTCGTCGGCCCTTGAGTTCTTCTTTTGCTTCCTCACTAGCCACAACAACTCGTTCCTTATAGGCGGACAAATTCATTGCATCAAGCCCTAGAATGCAAGGGGATAGGTTTGTTGCAGATCGAACTACCTTGAAAGATGTGCTCCGGACTAATTGTCTTCTTTTTGGCCGACGCACAAGCAATGTTAGCTTGTGTAGCCAACTTATGGATGAAGGCGTGACAACAGTTCAACAAAAGTTCACGTGTTTCTGTTGTCAGTCTGGCATCAGGAACGACATCTTTGATGAATTTATTTAAAGACGCCCTCGGAATGGATACTTCGTCCTCCTCCTTGCATTGAAACTCATCCTCTTCAAATACTACAGCGAGCAGGTTGGTTAGTGTTTAATGCGGGTGAAAGGGGAAACTTACGACTCATCAGGTAAGCATTACTCGACCAATGAGACTGATAAGCCGAGTGCCCAAAATCTGAAATTGAAAAAAGTCAAGATTGAGCAGATGAGTGGCTTGATAAACCCTGAAATGGGTGAACATAGTGTGGGCGAAGGGATAAACCCGGATGAAATAAGTTTGCGAAGAAAAAGAGATACATTGTCTTTGTAAGAAACATTCAATACCATCATCCTTTTCATCTTTCGGCCGTGTCTAAGAGCTGGAGTCGTATAACAGTTGGCAGAATGAAAGGATAGGAAAGGTAAAACAAAATACCAGGTAGAAGCTGTGGAATGGGGTAATAGGGGGTAAAACTGAGGAACGGAGCTCCCTGTAGTAGATCGATTATCTTATGGACAAAGGCTCGCCACTGGCTGGGACGGTGCCATTGCGTCTGTCAGCAAAAATTAAGCAACCCTGAGGCACGATGACTTTCATCAGCGAGTATTTAATCATCGTTATCACCATTATCACATCACCAAAGATAACAAGGTCATTGTAGATTGCGACGTCACAATGCCGTACAACCATACCATCCTATAATTTGATACACGCAACCCTTGACATCCAGCTATATCTTGACGCCACGGGGCCGGGATGGCTCGTGGTTAGAGCGCGAATTTACTGACCAGTAGGTCCGTGGTCCGAATCCGACCTCTCCCTATCCCTCTCGACTTCTTTCTAGGCTTGGGCAACCTGACAGTATCCCAGCTCTCGTGCTCCTTTTGGGTGGCGTGGAAGCTAGACGACAAAAGAATGTTGTAGCTCAATGATTATCTTATCTTTTATCTTGACGTCACAAGTGACTCAAATTAGCAAACATGCTCCGGACCTTTGATATTTGTGAACTGAATTTATCAAACTCATGCCCGAGCTAACACAGCTATCGATACAATCCTGATAATTCTCCCCTTTTAGGGCCGTCCGTTGGAATTATGGACTGATGCACAGGATCTACGTTTTCCCTCAAGAGGTGCCGAATCCTTCGGGTAACTTTTTCTCAGTTCGACTGAGCGCTGACTTCTTTGAGACGGATACCACGTCAGCCTCGTGAACTTTTCCGAAAACGGTTGTTTATATCTCATCTATTGAAGCTGGTCCCAGGTCAAACCTGTCAAGGAGGATACGCATCCCTAAGTCTGCACCGCAGAAAATTCAAATCAACGTTTGCGGTTCCGAGTTTCTGGCCCAGTAGCAGGTGAAACCAAAAGTCAACAGATTTTGGTAACTATATCCTAGTGGAGCCTTCATTAACACTTGGTCAACGAAGTGTCTTTCGTTAGTGGTAACCAGATCCAGGAGGGATGGTAGTTGGCCAGTTACTGCAGTATCTGATGGGTGCGACGTGTTGAGTTCAAGCGCTCTCTTGAACGACTTTGGTCAGCGCCGATGCAAGATGTCCACTATATCAGATGAGCTGGGATTCCATCCGGGAAGCCTTTGGAGCATTAAAATCGCCTACCAGCAAAAGATGCGTGAACGGCAGCTGGATGATAATTGTTCAAGAGTTTGTATGGGTTAAAGGTCGTTTTTTTAGCGGACTTCAGAGACAACGGCAGACGAGGCCGAGGACTAGAATCGGTCCAACGCAGCGTTACTTGAGTCCACAGTACATCACAAAATGGTGCATAGTGGTGTCGGAGATAACAAGCAGGATGGACAGGGCCAGATATAGAGCGACTCGATCTGCTAAATGAGTTCGAGTCACCTAGGAAAACGGAGTAGCTGTCTATCGAGATTTCCGTGTTACATAAGCCTGCTATGAGCCAGGTTTCCGTAAATGCAACTATGGACGGCTGTACAAAGTAAGCCGACTGCTGAAGTTTGTTGAAGGAACTGATGAAGTCCGTGGGTAGGCACTTCAGCACTATTTCTACTGCTTCAAAGGTACGAAGCCGAGAAATGTTGCGCCACCAAAGGGATTAGAAGACTCAACAGTTCTACGCCAGGTTTGAGTCCATCATTTCAAAAGGTTGCCTGCGGCGTACTTGCCTTTTCCTTGCCTTGGCGCATTCAGTGCCAGTTTTTCGTTTGAAAGGGGTCCGCTCCCCTGACTTCGATTTGCACGGACTTTTTATTTTTATTTTTTGGGGGCGCAGTTTTTCAAATCAGGGTCAAAATTTACTATGGCTGTTGCTTGTATCTCGTGCAATGCCACGTTTGAGACGCCTGGATTGGCTGTTTTCGAATATTTGCGGTGAACATGCTTTTGTTTGCCTCCATGGGTTTCCCAGCACGTTTGACCACAAATAATGCCTCAGCGAGACCTCGCTAGGTCACTTGGACGTTGCACAGGCCACCAGGGAGTATTCCTTTGGGTGACACCATCAAGACGCGCAGTTTCACAGAAGACTGCACCTTGAATTCAGAAAGCAGCTTCCCGATCGAGCGGGGTTCACGTGGCTTATTTGACCGCAGGATACCAAGGTCGTCTGCGACTAGCGTGGCCAACTCGACGTGCGTAGGATTTTCGAGTACGATGTTGGCAATTTTGTGGCTTTGGCTCTCGGGGTCATGAGTGACGATTGCATCCACAATCAGGCTTGCGGATTTTGACAGAGTGGAGTTGAAGGCTGATAGCTCTTCATTTTCATAAAAAGTCGCCCGCGCGCCTTTGGAGCAGCTGCCTTGTGAGGTTGAAACATCAGTACTAGCTTTATCCCGGTTAACCGACCAGATGGCTGCAAAGCTCCCGCAGCGGTCCCCGACGTCGTGGTCGCCGCTTGTGACTAATCTATCAGTGGCCGTTTTTATGCACATCCGACCCAACTTAGCTTAAAGCTTGTAACTTGGGTGTGGAGTTCAGAGATGCCCCTTTAACGTCTGTCAAAGAAATAAGCGACGACAATTTCACAAACGTTAGATGTTCTATCCTTGGAAGGCTTGCCTCACCCCCAGCATCACTGTCGTTATTAGTCGACGGGTTTGCCACGGTTGAGTAGAAGATGCAATCTGAAGTCCGGGTCAGTTGGATCAGTGCTTTTAAGAGCACACACAACAATTGGGTTGGTCGTAAGTCCAGGGTCAGCTGACCTGTTGTGAACGAGAAACATGATTTGCACTTTCCCTCAACAGTAGTTATAGCCAAGTGATCGCCGCTCTGGAGTGCGATCCTCGGATATACGCTTGATTTTGAATACTGATGGGCAACTCCAAGGTCCTCTATACTGTAATCCATACGCTTTACATCTGTCTTGACCGACACACATACGCGTCATCCGCCACCAACAGATTCAGGCATCTCGAAATCAATCACCACATCCTGGCCCGATCGTCTTAAACGGAACCAACAACAAGGGCACAGGGACAGTCGCAGTTAGGCGGTGCAGCGGCCAACAAGCCCAACTCAAACGTGGTTGGTCAGAGGACGACGAGACTGGCAGTCCAGTGCCAAGCTGGGATCTGATTGGTCGGAAATGCCCATCCAGAAGATAGCCATGCGTCAGCATCCACTGCATACCGACTGACAATGGAACTCCCAATTGTCGAAATACTATGGCTGAACACACACTAAACACGACATGCTGTGCACTGTTCTTCAACCAGTTCTCGGGTATCCGCCGCAGTGTGTATCCTTGATGGTTTTTCTACTGTAGGATATGGCTTGGGAGAATCAGACACAGAGGCATCGCCATCACTACCATCTTGCTGCTACCAACGACCGCTTTCGGAAGGAAGCAGAAAGACAAGCTTCCCCCAATCTCACGCTGGAATTCCTTGAAATCGACGTGTGGCTCGGTGCATGGTTCTGGGACGTTCGGGGACGTTTTGTGCCCGATGGGCCAAAGCTCAGATCTCTTCAGTTATTGGACAGTTGAGTGCATGAATAGGGAAAACCTGGCTTATTCGAGGCCAAATCGAGTGCATGACACGGAATGGACGGGTGAAAACAGACCAAGGCCCCAGCGGTGCACTCCATAACAAATTACGATCTACGAGGATTGGTGGCCCACTACTGCGATGGTTCATTTCTTACCTCATTGGGGGAGCCCACCAGCATCTAGGATTCCTCCTCATTAACTCTTCACATTACCAGCGACAGTTCTCAGTATAGTGTACTTGGCCCCCTACTTTTCTTACTATACATTAATAATTTCACCGATCCGACCACCCATGTACCCCCTTTTCTGTGCGCTGGTGACATTAAGATAGCTTTCACGTTTAAGGCCGATATATCCATTTCTACCTTTGCTAGCATTCAGTCTGATTTGAATTTTTCATCCCTCTGATCCTCTAACTCCTGTGTTTCTTTCACAGTTCCAAACTTCCAAGCCCTCTCACCTCAATTCCTGGGATGCCTATTATTAGCGGACCCTCGATTCTTACTCATTCCGAAGTGAAATACCTAGACCTCAGGTCCTCCTGTGCGTTTATTTTCAGCCAATATGCATGGTACGGAGTGGCTGAAGCTTGAAAGCTTCGCGCTTTCATTCGCCTATCCTTCCACAATAAATCATGTTTAATTGCCACATTTAAACAGATTGTAAGACCCATCCTTGAATCCAGTTCCGAATTCCCCTCCCACTATTTGCAGGCGGGCCGGACTGCTGTGAACTCTCGTTTACTGAGTCCTTGTTTTCGGCATCACTCACAATGCCATACCGTCTTTGCAGTTTGTCATTTTGGATGGATCCATTTTAGCGATAAACCCCTTACCTTCCCAAAATTAGGTAGTTGCTTTGGCCCAGCAAACAAACCCACCGTTTCCTGGGTTCGTTTAGCTTACCGTCATCCCCTTTTAGTTTCTTTTATTGACACCGTATAATCTGATGTCTTCTGGCACCCATCGGGTAGTGCTGCTTGCATCCTTCCTTTTTCCCTTCCGAGCTTCAAACTTCACCGTTACCTAAACGCCTCGTACGATCGCTATTCGTTCAATATGGCAGGTCCCCGGTCTACGCTCACAAGGTACTCCAAATGAGTACAA